AAAATAGCCAAGTTGCATTTTGCATAGTATGAATCTGTTTTTCATTTTGTGGATTTAGAAATTTCATTTCTGAAAAATGAATGCTGTGTTTATCAGATATTCTGCTTGCAAACAGTTTGTTTGATAACATATAGAGAAGCACAGAAGTAAGGCTGAAAAAGGGACAGATCTGATGACCTGGTTTCAGTTTGAGGGTTTTTTGCTAGTTCTCTGACATAAAAAGATATTTGTGGGCATTTGTTTGTGAGAGTTTGCGAAGTTCTTGTGATGCCAACAGTTCCTCTCTTGCTGAAGCAACTAGGTCTGATTAAAGGAGGTAGATTTAAAGAGAATGTGGTTTACCATTTAAAATGTGTGCAGATAAGTAAGGAGAAGAGTCTGTCCTCTGCTTCAGGCTCCTGACAGTGGTTTTTAATCATCTGTGTCTTTGTGTGTCTGAATTTCTCTGCACCAGGGATCTGGGTGAGATCGTATCTCTTCTCTCCCACTTCCTCCTTCTGCCTCCCTCAAACCTTGCTGTTAGGTGCATTTCTGGTTGTTAGGATGCTGAAGTGCCAAAGGTTTCTATTGCAGTGCTCTTCCATCCAATCCATAAGGAAAACTATCTCGTTTAAGTGAAACAGGGTTGCTCAGTTATTTTGGTGACTGAGACATGATGTTCTCTTATCAGTGCATTCTTTATTTAAAATTCATGTGTGGATAACTCCTGACATTGATAGAAATGCTTCAGGATGTAGGAATTACCCTAACTAGTGCAGTGTGCTCTCTTGGTTTTAACCTTTCAGGGTAGTTCATATGTACATATGAGCCCTGGAAAACTTTAGTACCCTGGAAAAAGGTAGTAAAAACTGGCCAAAGACAACAAATACCCACAAGCACTGTTGATAACAGAAGTTTGGCCTGCATCATAATGTTTGCTGGTTTTTTTGTTTGTGAATATTTAATTAGTGAGTATTTAACACTTCTGAATGATAATGGTCCCAGATAAGAGGTAGTGTACTTTCTCAGGCATGAGTGTAGGTCAGATGCTTGTTTGCTTTTTACTGCCGTGCTGAAGCTGAAGGAAGACTGGAGTAGTTGGGGCAAAGAACGGGTCCCCAGCAGCACAGGCTGTCTGGGAATTTCCAACAGGCTTCTCCAACTGCTCTGTTTGACTTGAAGCTTGACAGAAAGTACCGGTGTGATTATTAATCTGGTTTCGGCAGATACGCTGTGTAGGTGTTGTGGTTTGTTTGGGTGGGGTTTTTGGCCATATGGACTCCAGCTGGGCTTACCCCTTTGTCTGTGCAGGGATTGATTCCTGGCAATGAGGAGGTTTGAAGAAAGCACTGGAAGTTTATGGGGAAGAGTTGTTGCTGCCTTCTGCCCCTGGCACTGATGATTGGGCTGGCTCATGTGGGGGGTGTGACTTACCCGGCAGTTCCCAGTGTGGTGAGATCTGCTCAGGAGATATCCCGTGCTCCTGCTGCAGGGCCCTGGGCAGGTATATGCTGCACACTCACACTCTGAGGAAAAAGCCATTAGTGTCATTGTTTATGCTGTATTGGTTAATTATCCTTTGGATGTGGCTGCCTCCTTTTATTTTCTTCCCCGGCTTTGATTCTGTCCAGTTTGTTCCTGAAACAGGCTTGGCAGGATCTTCCTCCCTTATTCTCAGGGGTCAGTGGCTTCCTTCTTACTTTTCTCTGTCCTTGTACACAATCTTTTTTGCAGCCTTTCTCCAAAAGCGTGTTCTGTCCTTTGCTTCATTGAATAATGTCTTGTTTATAATTAAGTCAGGAATAAACTGTAATAGGGCTTTCTTGGCCAGTATTTCCATGATGGCTTTCCAAAGCAAGTCTGAGTTCAAAGTGTGCAGATCTGTGGTGGCTACAGATCAGTGCTGGACAGATGGCTCTTTGGGTATATGAAGTTGAAAATATCTGTAACAGTAGATATATCTCTGCCCCTTAGTGTGCAGTTTGGTCTTGCTGTGGCTCTACCAAGATGGTCACATCCCTGGTCACGCTGTTGGGGCACATAAAGTGTCTGCAGCTGTGCCTCCAGCAGTGCCAGAGGGGCTGGTGCTGCTCTGATTGTTATTCAGAAATGTCCAGTGCTGCAGGAAAGGTGCAGCCTGTGGCTGTCAGCCTTGTGTGTGTGTTTGTGGGCTTTCTGCTTTGTGCCACTTCTTCCAGCAAGATTAATGGATTGAACAGCAGCTTCCAATGACAGAACCAAGAGTGGTTACTGGATAAAGGTTATTTTGTCTACTTTTTAATGATGTAGTTATTTTGAATGTTAGGAATATTGGTGACAGACAGTTGAGGACTGGCAGTATTATGTACCATAAAAAAATCTCTTCAAAATGTAAGCTTTCTTTCCTTGATAAGTTTCATTATTTGCTGTATGATGAGAATTTCAAGAGGGTGAAGGTACTTGGCTTTCTGATAGAAAGCCTCCTGGTGAAGCTGAGTACCAATGTTTGGTATTTCACTCAGTGATTTGCACACCGTGTTTGGCACAGTACAAATTAAAGAGGTGACTTTGCAGGTAGTGTTTGTGTCATACTGTTGCTGAACCTCTGCTTGTGACCCCTTCCACAGTGATCCTTTGAGTCTTGCATTGGTGAAGAGGGTACAGTCTTGTTTTGTCCAAAAATAGCACAAAGTGATCTGAAATGCTGTGTATTGTCTAGAGTTTAGGCTGTATCTGAACAGCACATTAATACCAGGCAGTTGATAACAGAGTAGACAGTACTGACTCCCTTTAGAACACCTAACAATACTAAACTGTGATGTTACTCATCTATAGAGGAAGGCCCTGCCCTTCCCTTCCTCACTAACCAAGTGTCTTACCTGCTTTGGATTTCTTCATTGTATCTCCACTGGAGTTACCTACCTGATGTGCAGTGGCTCACAAGTTTTCTTGTTATTTAAACACTTGAACATTTCCTGTGGAAATATACGGGCATCTCTGTCAGGTTGGTGGTATTTAGGGAGAGTAGAGAGGAAAATCATGCAAAGACAGTGACCTGCTACAGTGCATCCTGTCATGAGGCTCTTCCTTGGAGTCATGGTGCTTCCTAATCTGCCTCTGCAATCCCTGTGGGGCCTTTGTGGTGGGTGATGATGAGTTCAACACCTGACTGCTAATTCCAGGGCAGGCAGAGAGCAAACCCCAGAGGAATGAGAATAGCTTCTGACTTCTTGGAAAGAGAGATTTAGGCATTGTCTGAATAGTTTCTTGAAAGCCACCTTTTCATCTGGGCACCAGTGTGGGGTGTTGGAGGGTGACAAAGAGTTGATTTAAATGCAGACTTGCCTTGGGGCAGGGGTTGTGGGTGTCCCTCAGGTGGATCAGTGTGAATGGCTCTGGCAAATCTCCAGCATGGTGGTTTTACTGCTCCGTCTGGCTGACTGTGCTCAGGTTACAGTTGTCATTAAGATGCATATCCATTGTATGTGTATGCACAACAACAGAGATAATCAATTTGGATATATATGTGCCCCTTAAAGCCCAGGATGGAAATCTGTGTAAAGAATTTGAGGTGAAAGTCACATTTACAGAAAGAACACAAGGTGGAAATGGACCAAAATAAGAGGGGTTTTGCATCTGAAAGTACATCTGCATTTAAAAAGCAGCAGTCAAGGCAGCATCTCAGGTGCTCATGGATGTGGACACTGCAGCAAGGCACTGGCAGAGGAGGGGGCTGTAGCCCCTGCCCAGTGCTGTTTTACCTTCCAGTTCCTGATCTGCACAGCTGTAAGTTATTGTGTGGCTTTTGATGAGTGAGAAGAATTTCAACAGTGTAGTCTGTAACATCATTACCTGCTTTTTTTTTCATATGACAGGATTTATCCTTTTGTATTTTCTTTAACCACATGAAGAAAACCCATAAAACTCAACCTGAAGCAGACTATACCTTTTATTAGAGAGGTCTGCTGTGGTTTTGTTGCTGAGATGTCGAACTGGGAATGGCAAGAGATGTGCCTCAAGCAGGGTGGTGAGCAGGACAGAAGTGAAGCGAGAAGGTGTGTGTTTGTAGTGTGACAGCTTTAATGAGGAGCATATTGCTTGTGCTTATTGGCAGGAGAAATACCTCCAGCACTTCTTGGAGCTCTTAAATGCTGAACCCACCTGGAATGTGTTGGTGGGTGCTGCTAAACAGGCAGGATGCACCACAGCTGGGCATAGGGACTCCTGATTCCTGTGAAAACCCACTGTGCCTTGGCTTGGCTCAGTCACAACACACCAAACCTCTCCTTGGCAGAGGTTTTTGCTGGTGGTGCACATCCAACCAGAGAGCAAACGGCACAGGATCTGCTCTCTGCTCTTGGGCAGTGATACAGAAATGGCATTAAGCAGCCTTCAGGTTTGTGTATTGAAAGATTTTGGCGTTCTCGTGGTCGCTGCACAGCCCTGGGAAGCTGAGCAGGTTTGGGTGACTCTCTACAGAGTTCATACTTGTGAGTGGATTTTGGAGACAGGCAAGGTCAGTGTGTCCATCTGTCTCCTAGAGGGGAGTGGCTGCTGTTGTGCTCTCTTTCTGCTCTGTACATCCCAACCTCCCCCCCGCCTCCCCAGTTGATAAAACCTTACTTTGCTGTTCTCATCACCTTTCAGTCAGAAAAATTTTGCTGTCTCTTCTACTTTTTCTGGACGTTTCAACCTTTGAAATGAACAAATTGTTGTGAGTGAAGTAATGAGGGTTAATAGTGACTCCAAATATTTACGTGCTCAAATGTGGTTTGAGTACAGTCATTTACAAGAGGTCACCTTCCTTACAAAAATATAATAAAAGCCTGCGCAAATCCTCTTATTGTTTTGTTTTTTTCAGAAGGATGCTGAGAACCATTGTGTTCTTTGAAGGGGTAGGAGCCACTAAGTAAAAATAAGGACTTGCTTTTTAATGTAAATGTCTCTGCTGTCTGATGCAATCTGCACACAGGGGGGAGGCAAATCTCTTCAAAAGCATCTGAAGCTTTAGTGATTTCTTGTGTTCTGTTTTTTTCCTGAAGATCCAAGCCCAGAAGAAACCTATTCCAGTGAAGTATGAAGTTGGAGATCTTGTTTGGGCCAAGTTCAACAGACGCCCATGGTGGCCATGCACAATTTGTCATGACCCAGTGCTGGACTGTCACTCAAAAATGAAAGGTACTGTATCTACTCAGACCGCAAAGCGGAGGTGTTGTGTGTGGCAGGGTGCTGCAGTTTTTAATTAATTTTAAAAGTACTTCTGGCCCTTGAAAGGTGTGAAGAAATAGACCCTACTGTGGAAGACCCAGATCCATAAAGCAGTCCTAAATCAGGGAGATGGCAGGAGGAAGAGGGGGCTGGGGCTGGTGGAAGTGACACAGGTAACTGTTGGACATGTAGGCTTTTCTTCACAGAGTATAGGAGGGACGAGTAGCTGGGCTGAGCTCAGGGTGGTACAGAAGAAAGAGCAGCCTCTCAGAAAAGAAATGCAGAGAAAAAGGAGGTGGATCAGAGAGGTGCAACAGGTGAGGAAGCAGAGCTGGGAAGACTGGAGTGTGTGAGGACACAGAGAGTTGGCCAGTCTTGGAGAACGGGAGGCTGCAGAGGGTGAGAAGCAGAGTGTAGGGTAGCAGCTGAATGCCTGAAGGTGTGATGGGAATGTGTGCAAGGAAGTGAAATTTTTTGGGTCTTGTTTGGCATGAGAAAGCAAGGGGCTGTTTATGGAGAAATACTGGAAAACCCTGGAGATGGAGCCATATATATGAAAGTTTAGGGCATAGTGTGAGTCAGCTGAGTGTGATGAGGAGACATGGAGGAAATATGGCAGAGCTGTATGTGCTTGAACACAGGCGAGAGCCAGGAACGAAGAGAGTCTTACAGGCTCAAGGCAAAGGTATGTGAGTGATAGAGAGAACAGAAGGGAAGTGATTAATCATTTGCTTTTAGGATCATACCAGCTGCCATGGGGAGACTACCACAAACAGAAAGGCTTAGTTGTTCCTGGTTTCCCCTTCTGATTCTTTTTGTTCTGTGGACAACTGGAAACCCTTTGAACTGTTGTCATCTGCCACTGACAGCTCTAGACCTGTGAGGTTGCCACTCACTGATGTATTTCTCTCCAGGATATGTGGCCCTTGCCAGCGTTAAGGACAAGTGCTGGGCAGAAGTGGACTTTTTTTGAGTGGCCGTCAGCTCAGAGTCTGCTGCTGTTTGTCTAGAGACACAAAGTAGCTTTTCCTACATGGTACTCACATCACATCATCCCCAAACCTGGTTGCTGTAGTCTTCTTACTTGCTATTTCTCCACCTTCCCCTTCATCCTTTGGGAGACATGCATCCTGATTCTAGAGAATATCGAATGTGCTGTTTTAAATAGTCTCTTTCCAGCTCTCAGATTTCTGTTGAAGATGTTTCCAGAAGATTTGCTGACATATATTCTCCCCCACATCCCTCCTCATGACAGGATTTAATGTATATAGCTGTCCAGTATTCCCCTCTCAGCCTCTGTATGAGGATTTCTAATAAAGGAATCCTGCAGGGAGAAAACATGATATTAACAAATTCCTTCAAGGCCTGATCTCCAGCCTCATGGTGGACTCTCCTATCATTGTTTTATCTGTGTTCAAACCAATGGAGCTCTGGGGAAAATTGCATTTTCCAGTTGTGGCTGTATGTGGTCTACTGGTCTCCTCTTCTCAATGCCAAGGTGGCAGAGCGGGTGGATCTGAACTCTGGTGCCTTTGGGCAGGTAGAGCTGCTGGGCTCTGTGTGCACTGTAAGAAGCAGAACCCTCCTGCCTTGGCTCTCTGTTGCCAAGGGAACAAGCCCTTCAAAACAAGGCAGGTCGCTTCAAACTCATCACTTGTGCAGAAACCTCTTCTCTTGGGTTTGAGGAATGATGTTTTGTTCAAGGCAGTTTGCCTTTTTTTCAGCAGGCTCTCTGCTCAAAGATTTTTGGAGCTGGAATTTTGAGGCTCAGTGGCTCAAGTCCCAGTACTGTGAATGGGATGGATGAAGCCTGCCATCTTTGTCCATGGTTTGATGTTGCTCTCAGTGGTCTTTGTCAGAATCTCACTGTCAGCATCTCTTGAGGCCAGGCTGCCACACTGTGCTGGCACTCCTGGAAGAGGCATCACAAACCAAATGGGCTTGAAGTCTAAGCTGAATGTTCAGAAGGAGAAGGTTAAGCATACTTTGCAGCAAAATGCAGGGAGAACTTTATATCCCTTGTTTTCAAGCCTTGTTTGCTCTGTTCTATTGCTTGTGACCTGTTTTTTTTCACCAGCGCACCCAGTACCGGTTCAGTTCTTACTTATACCATGTCTGTTCAACATCCTTGCACAGAAAGCACCTTTGAAAAATTTTTGAATGTGTCCTTACAATTGAATTTCTTCTCTTATTCTGCGCCTTTGTGCCCCAAAAATGGACTCATTGCAACTAATGTTTTGTCGTGTTGCACCTAGTCCTTGTAGTGTGTGTGCATGTGTTTGTTTATATGTTTTGTGTCCTAAATAAGAGTTTGTTTGGTATCAAAGCATTGAGCAAGATGGGATATATTGTGGTGGAGGAGGCTCAACCTGCCTGAGTAGATCATATCCAGAAAGATGTCAGTTCTGGGTGTTGCCGGCACCGTTGTGTTTTCCCAACGGTCAAGTGGACTGGACTATTTAATGATTAATCAGGGAGTAGCAGAGAAGAAATGTCCTGCCTGGTATGTTGTGCCTCTCAAGGAAAAAATATTTAGATATCTTGGCCGTTTTCTTTGCAAACAATCTCTGCTCTAGGAAGATGACCCATCATTAATCTGTTGTTCATAAGAAAAAAACCCAAACAAAAACAGAGAGTAGCAACATAGAACACAGACAGCAGGGATCAAAGGGGTCTCCCTTAGTTTTGAGCAGAAATCCCCAGAACTGGCATTCATGTGGGAATGTTATTAAGCAAAATGTGATTGAAAATTATCTGGCAAATTGTTACCGCTTTCTGTGATTCTTTTTGTGTGTCTTTATTCTGTTATATGCAAGGGGTTAATTATGTTAAATTTCTCAAAGTAGTTTCCAGTGGGAGACCATACCGAGAGTACTATGTGGATGCCTTAGGAGAACCTTCAGAAAAAAGCTGGGTTGCTGGGAAAGCTATTGTCCTCTTTGAAGGAAGACATCAGTTTGAAGAGCTGCCTGTTCCCCGGAAAAGAGGGAAGCAAAAGGAAAAAGGCTACAAACATAAGGTGAAAGATCTGTTTTCTTCAACATGTTTTTGATTCTTTGAATCTGCACAGTACAAAATATTCCTTTATGCCTGGAATTACACTTTGACAGCTTTCTTCTGTGAGATTGACTGCAGCAAGGCAGCGAGGGAGGGGATTCTTTGCATCCTTGCATCAAACATAGTTTATAAACTGCCCCGAGTTTTTAGGCTCTCTTCAGTGCTGGGGTGTGGCCTGCTGCTTCTATTGCCCTGGACTCCTCTGGGAAGCAGAGGAGTCAGGGCTCTGTTGGTGTGGGATCTGTTCAGCAGCTCAGCTATCTCCTGATGTTTATTGCAGCACTGCTAAAAAACTTCCTGTGCTCTCTGGCAGCCCCTTTTGGCTGATCTGAAGCAGAAGTGGAGTTGCACGCTTCACTAGATCACTGGCTGAGATAAAGCAGTGGGGTTTTTAGCCCTGCTTCAGTAATTCTCTTTATAGAAACCTGTTAGGACTTATAATTTGACTTGGAAAATGCTTTGTCAGGGAGCCTGTGGGAATGAGTTTTGTGGCTCATCGCACCATCTCCGTTTCCAAACATAACAGCGCTGAGCAGTTATAGCCAGTTAATGAAATGTGACACAGGGGTCTGGTCTATGTCTTTAGGAAGGTGACTGGAGAAATTAACTTGTTAGAATTGCTGAAGTGAAGAACTACACCAGCTACTGTGTTACTGTAAGAGAGCACACAGTTACACTAGGCGGTGATATCTGGTTTTTCTTTTATTCTAGAGCTTTATAACCTATGTTAATGCAGAATCATCAGATTGAACGTGCTCTTGCAGATATGAGTCCCTGGTTGCAATGCTCTCATTTGGTTTTCCTTTTCCAAGGCCATGTTCGGTATCTTTTTTAAGGACTTCCCTCCTTGTGCTCACAGCCCCCCAAAAACAAGTGACATTCTCACTAGTAACTTTTCTGGTTCTAGAATTGCTTGACTGGAATCTTGTTCTGTATGTAAATGAAGTGCCAACAGGGCTTCAGTAGGGGGAATCAAATGATTCTTTAATCTGCTGAGATGAGATTTTGTTGGTTTGGGTATTTTTTAAAAGAAAAGTCAGAAAATTTGAGTTGTTCCTCCTACCCTGGAATTGGTTTTGATTTTAAGAGCAGTTTTGAAGCCTCTGATTTGCTGTTGTGCAGCCAGAAACTGCACAAGCACATAAGAAACAACTTTCTTGCTGATTTTGGGTGTTAGCAGAGGTTCCTGTCCAGTATAAGGAGGGATTTTGTTTTTAATAAAGGTACAGAGTTAAAGCTGGGAGACCTCTCAACAATGAACATCATAAATTTGATAAAGTGCATCTTAGGTGTGTGTGGATCTCATGTTTGTCCCAAGGTGAGTTGATGGAGAGGGCAGATTAATTCATGCTCTGAGTTCAAGGGATGCAAGAAGAATCAAGAATGAGCAAAGCAAACAGGTCTGCTCAGATATTTTGTGGAAAACAATGCTGCATTTGCCTTGGGAGCCTTGTTGGCTGTTACTTTGTATTTATGCTCCAGGGATCCATACCATATGCATTCCTCTTACAGGCTGCTGTGTTCAGGATGTGTTGGGGTGCCAGGACATCTGGTTCCTGGGAGACCTGTGGTTACAGGGACCTTTTTGCTGTGTTGGGAATGCACAGGGATTTCTGTTATGTTCAGCAGGAGTGCAGGGTACTTACCCAGAAGCAGTGCTTCCTGTGTCCCCTAGACACAGTCTCAGGGAATCCACGTGATTATCTTAAAGATGCAAAATGCAGGAATGTCCCTCTGTTCTGTGCCTTGTGCTCCTCAATTTCACTTTTATCTCATTGGGTACCTGCTCAAATATTGTCTATTTTTTTTGTCTCCAACTTTTTAAGGTTCCTCAAAGATTTATGGCTAAATGGGAAGTCAGTGTTGGACAGGCAGAAGACATTCTTCTCGGAGGGCCAGAGGATCAAAAGTGCAGCCAGAACTCCAGCGAGCCAGACAGTGAGAAGGACATGCAGTCGGAATACTTTACCAATGGCCCTGGAGCAGAAAGGGACAGGCAGCTGAACGGCTGCTTTAAATCCTTGGCGTTTGACTCCAGACACGCGGCCAGTGAAAAAGGAAAATTGCACATTAAGCCACATGTGAAAAAAAAGCTCTGAAAGCAGAAAAAGGACTAGAGTAAAAAAGAGCAGCGTGAGAGGGGAAGCACCTAGGGGAGAAATCAAAGACAAAACACCAGAGAGCATAGTTAGAAACACAGTTGCTGGGGACCTACCAGAGAAACACGCGTCTCATGAACTTCGCCGGATTGCCAACAGCCTGACAGCATCCAGCAGCACCAGGGAAAACCATTTGCTTTCCTCATTTGGAGAAAGACGTTTTGAAAAGACACCTTTGAAACCGGACTGTGAGAGTCGTAAAAGCGATACTCTCAAGAACACTCTCCAAGGGGATTTGTTTTCCAGCCCATCTTTTGAGAGAGAGAAGAGCTCCCTGGGCATTTTGTGCAGTTCTAAATTACAAATACATTATTCTGCGTCTGATGCTGGTATTGAGAAAAAGCAAACTGAATCAGATTCATCCTCTTCCCTCTCCGATGGTGGGGACAGTGATGTAGATACCATGGACCAAAGTTCAGAGAGAGCCTCTAGTGCTCTTGAAGTTAGTGATTCTTCAGATAAAGTGGAGAAGGAATTTCCTATGACGTCAAGTGGAAACATTAAACTTTCCATGTATCTTTCTCAGAAGAGCAGCAGAAGGGCCAGGAAGAAGTCATACAGAGATCGCAAACCTCTGGGAGGTTCAGTAACCAGCAGACTTGATGCTGAATTTGCAGATGAAGAGCTGGAAGTTGGCTTCTCTGATGCTGAGATGTCATTGATGGCTCTTGAGTGCTCTTCGGATGTGAGAAATGACAATCTTTCCCCAGCAAACAAGCACACTACCCCCCAAAGTGTCTCCAAGGATAGCTCCTGGCCTGCTGTTGCAAATCAAGCAATCTTAAAACCGAAAAGCATGAAATTACCCCGATTCAGGAGTATAAAATGCAAACATAAAGAAAAGGTTGGTGGGTTGGAGCCTTCTCTTGCAGAAGAGGAGGGTGGTGTGAATCGCTGCTCTTCGGATACCAAAGGTTTCTCTGGCCTTCAGAGAAGTGGAAAAGTTGATGGTCAGAAACTATTAAACAACATGCATGAGAAACCCAGGGATTCTGCTGAAATCGAAACGGCTGTGGTGAAGCACGTCTTGTCAGAGCTGAAGGAACTGTCTTACCGGTCCATGAATGATGATACCAGTGACTCTGGCACTCCAAAGGCCACAGTACCTTTACTTTTCTCTTCTGCCTCTGGTCATGGTCGTTTGCCTATTGAACCAGATTACAAATTCAGCACCTTGTTAATGATGTTGAAGGATATGCATGACAGTAAGACAAAAGAGCAGCAACTGATGACTGGTCAAAATATAGTCCCATTTCGAAATACCAGCACAGCTGATGGTTCTGGAAGCAATTCTGCGAGTGGTCTGAAGTCTTTGTCCATTGTAGGTCCCCCATATAAAATAGAAAAAAATGGAGATTGTGTCCAGGAAACAGTAAATTCAAACTCCACTATAAGCAACTCCTCATTTTCACGCAATCCTCCAACCAAGTTGACGGGGATTGGTTCTGGTAAAAGGGAGCCTGCAAGTGCTGCTGTTTCTGGGACAAATGGCACAAATTGCGTGTCCAAACGCAACTGTTCAAAATCTAAACAGTCATCTAAGCTTGGAGATAAAACAATTTCAAACAGAAAGGACTTAAAACCAGGAGGGCCAAGTAAGTTGCTAAGTCGGTTATCCAGAGATTCAGGAGAACATGCATTCCGTGTGCATGGTTCAGTTACCAGTCCTCTAGGTAATGAGGCAGAAGATACTGAGAGGAAAGAGTGTATTGATTTAACAGAGCATTCAACTGATGAAGACTCTGCCTGTTTATCTGATGACAATTTAGGTCGTATTGGAAGGAGACCTGAAGCTGGTAGAAATGTTGAGAGCTGCAATTCTGCTGAAAATGGGCAGAGTCCAGACTTGGATTCAGAGGCAAATAGTGAGAGCTCTCTTGGTGATGAGTCTAATGATATAAATCACGTAGCACCCAAAAAGCGATGGCAGCGTTTTAACCAAAGCAGTGCTAGATCTAATAAGCACATCAGTAGATCTAGGGAACAAGGAAACTTGGAGAGTGCCTTTGGCCTGAATTCTCGTGGCTTTTCACTGAAGGGAAATGAGTGCTTGGGACGTAGGCATTCCCCTCATTCAAAGGTGCTTGAGGGAGACCTGGCAGTTCAGGACTTTGAGAATCGTTTAGACTTAGTTGATAAACGTTTGAATGTATGTGGTAAGCCAAACACCAGTGTGATGGACTCAGAAACAAAGCTTGGCAACTTTGCTCCCCAGTCTGAATTCTCTGCACAAGGTAAGGGAGCTGGACTTGCGCCAGAGTGTGTATTTGTATACATTTTATACTTTTTCATTTAAAGGATAAGTTATGGAACTTGGGGCTGTCTGATAATGTGGAGATGTCTACATCTGAGCAGAAGAAAATGTACCTTGATTTGAGTTCTCTGTAAGCATGGAGAACAAAGATGGCTTGTGCTCAGGTTATTGACCAGAAAGTTTTAAATACATTACAAATCATTAGTTTCTGCACCATGAAAGGTAAAATGAGCATCCTTCTCTAAGCTTGGGATTATTTTTGAACTTGCATCTTTATAATGTGTTCCTTAGAGCCATGTGCTTGGTGTTAGTGGGGTAGGTCAGCGCTAGAAAGTTGTCTGAAACTAAGCCTCAATGGCTGCTCTGATTTTATCTTTTGTAGTGCTGTTTGACATAGTTTGTCTTTTTGATTTGTTCTGTAGAATCTCGTAAAGATTATGTGTTTGGGTTTTTTTGGGGAATTTTTGCATTTCAATGTGAAATTTTACTAGCTGTTAATAACAAGTTGGAGAGCCCCACAAATTTCCTAGTTTGCAGCTCTGGTGTGGCTGCCTGATGGGTGAAGAGGAGAACAGAAGGGAGGGAAGCTGCCAGGGAGGCTGGGCTGGAGGTGGGTCTGAAAGATGGCGGAAAAAAATGAGGCAGCAGCATTGTAAGGGAAGTGACCCAGGAAGGAGGAGGCCTCTGAGGACCACAAGATCAGACAGCTCTGCCTCTCCCACAGTGGTGGGAACATTTGGTTAAAGCCAAAGGAAGAAATAAAAAGGTGTGTGCAGAAGGAATAGGGCCACCAGAACCACAATTGACAGATACCATCCTCAGAATCCACGGGAACACACATTAATAAAAACAATCAAATTAAATTTTTGCATACATTTCTCCAAACTAAATTGCTCTAATCTACTTGCAATATCCTAAGTTAATAGAACTCGTCAGAATTTTGAACCTGTGTTATTTCATCACTTATGTGTTCCCTCAGTACACATGTTGATGTGTGTATTTTGCTCTTAGTGGTTACTGGAGACTGCCTGCACCTATGATTCAATGTGGCAAAAGCAGCTCCTGGCTTGGTGGCTGTGGGACCTGCCCAAGGCAAGTCACAGCAGGCACTAAAAACGAGCCCATAGGGTGTAACACAAGGGGTGAACGTTCTGGTTTTAAATCATGACCAGCTTAATCATTCACTGACTCCTCTGGTTTGGGTCTGTGTGTTTCTGAGGACTGAAGTTTCCACAGAGCAACTGAGAGGATACACATTGTTCTGGGCTGTCACAGCCGAGGGAGTGAGTTCCTCCTCCACACTGAGATCCAACCGGGTTCTCATGGCTTCATGCTGGTTTTGCAGTTGAAGCATCCCTGCAGTGTTGCTGTGTGAGATGAAGATACAAGTCTGCAGAGAGAGCTAGAGAAGAGGAGCTACTGAGAGGCAGTAAAGGCAGGAGGGTAGTGGCAGAGGAAGGCAGCAGGCTCCTGGGTGAGATGGTGATGGTGGAGAGGAGTGTACACTGTCCTGGTGCTGCACACAGGGGTGCAGCAGTCAGGGCCTGAGTTTGCTTGCAAAAGTGCCAGAACAGCAACCACAGTGTAATCCAATTCCCCTCCCCTAAATAGCACATGAGCCCCGAGAACACCTGCCCTTTGTGGACAGATGTGCCATGGGGAGGCACTGGAGCTGCTGTCTGGGTTGCTGTAACATCCCCAATGCTGGTGGTACTGAGTAAACCTCTACTGCTGTGAAAAGACCATTTCTATATGTCGGGCAAGGCCAAGTACGTTGAAAATAGAGAGACTGATGCCAGAAGCTGAATTGACTGCAGCTTACAGAAGAGGAGTTTCCTCTGCCAGTGCTTTGAGAGAAGATGTTGACCCATCCTTGTCTGCAACAGGCCCAGTTTCAGTGTAAGAGATCGCAACAGATTGCAGTCACAACTGTGCAGTTCCCACTAAGTTCAAACTTTAAAGTCTTCATCGTAGTTAAATGGCAACATTTGGCATATTTTTGCTACAAACTTTGTGATGTGATTTAAAGCAAATAAGGCAGAAGTGAAGATTAGTGGAATTTGCTGACGTAAAACAATTTTATAGTTTCATCGGGTACGTGATTTACCACTGCCAATCAGACTGCATTTGGAATTCTTGTACGGGATTCCCTTTGGGAACAAAAAAAGCAGTTAAGCCAGGCCTTCTGGCACAGTGCTGTGTGCTCTGCTGCATGGCTTTGGGGCTCTAAATAGTTGCGTGCTGAGGATACTTGCCCTGTACCTGGTTATATGCTGAAATGTGTGTTTTACCCAGACACCTGTGCAGTGTTAATAGAGGCTGAAAATAGCTGCTTTTGAGAAAGTTGTTTCTTTCTTCTCTTTTAGCTAAGTTTGACATTTTCATGCTTGTTTAACCACAAAGCCACAATAAAGTGTAGCAGTCTTGTCCAACATCCCTGTTCTGAAGCGTTGCACTGGAATGCTTTGTTTTAAATGCTTCCGTTTTAAAGAAGAAAATGCCATCTCCTACAAATTAAAAGAGGCAAAGAGGATATTTACTGTTTGTTCCTAAATTTCCAGGAGACCACAGATGTTTTCATGAATAGGAGAAATCTTCAGGCAGAATTATTTAGTGATTTTGAAAGCTAAACAAAGGAGAAAAGTCTGAGCAATTCTGGAAAGGAAGAAAACATAAATCTTACTTTTGCAGCTTGTTGAGTAGAGATGGTGTAGAGTGTCAGGGCTCTTTTTTTAGGAGCTTGCCATGCATTGGGGTGTTGAGGAAATACCTGTTCCTCTGTGGTGGTGCCATGTTGTGCAAACAGAAAAGACGTGAGCCCTGAAGAGCTCACAGTCACTGGCTCCCTGATCTCACTAGGGAATAAATAAAGCAACAAATGGGCAGATGGGGAATTTGTAGTATATGAAAAAATGCCAGGGAGGAGAGGAAGGGAAGGAGTTAAGCTTAAGTGTTAGTAGTGATACCAGTGACTGAACTGCATTAAGGGAAAACAGGGTTTTCCTGTGCTTCTGCACTGAAACCAAAGGATTTTGGATAAACAGCAAAAGCGTTTGAGTTGCTGATGGTCTTTGGTTTTGGTAGAAGTACTGCAAAATGTTCGATGTAGTTTGTAGGGAGATGTTGGGTGAAATTTCAGGAGCGCCCCTCAGTCTGTTTTTTGATTTCTTAACCTGAACTGCTTGAAGTCTCTTGGGTCCTTAAAAACCCTACCTGCCATGTCAGGATTGTGGAAAATAGAAAGTTCAAAATTTTAAGGCTGTTTCAAAGAGAAAAAAGTATTGGCTCTTCCCACATGGATCCTCTGGAAGAGAAGGCAGGAACAACTATTATCCACAGATCATGAGGAGAGTTTTGCCTTGTGATAGTCTCAGAAACACAGTCTTGAAGCTGCTTTCCTTTTTCTTAGCACATTCAGAGAGGAAGCGCCTTAGAAAGCCAAGTAAACGGCTTCTGGAATATGCAGAAGAATATGATCACTTGTTTGCACCCAAGAAAAAATCAAGGAAAAACCAGGAGCAATTGCAAAAGGTGGGTGAAGGCCAATGTACTCTTCGTGGTTATTGCTTTGGGGCTCTGGTCTCTGTGTGTTTATGTTCTTGGTGGCTGAGTGTTCTTGCTGTGTGCAGTGCCATGCAGGATGAATGTTTTCACCAACATGTTTCACCACACCAGGTGAATTCTGTGGTGAGGTCTGAATTTGAAGGAGGTCTTCCTGCACAATGCAGTCCTGACAGAGATACCCAGCGGGGGCCGAGTTCTTTGGTTTCAACTCCATCTTCAACCAAAGAATCCCCTCCCATCCTTGAAGCAGAGTGTTCCTTCTCAGAACTAGGATCCCACTCCACTGATCACAATAATCAAGTTCCAGAAGGACCTTCAGATATTCCAGACCTGGTGGTGCTGTCTGCCTCAGATGCTTCTGAAGTTTCTGCTTCTCCAGATGCAGAAGAGGGATTCCTGAAATCGGGTGAGTGGAAGGTTGTGTGATTTTGCTTTCATAAGTGAAAGCGTCACAAGTTCAGTGGAAAATGATGCTTGGGTCAGTGTGAAAAGGTCAGTGGCTGTCAGTCTGTTTGTTCTTGCTTTGCTTCATTCTCTGCCTTTCTGGTGCTGAGAAGGGAGAGAGGGCAGGTACAGGGGTTACCCAGTGAGTTGGTGCTGTTGGCTTTCTGTGGTGTGTGATAGTCGTCTGTAGGTCCTGGCACAGAATTCTCCTTTGTCCAAATGGATAGAGCCACAACTCCTTCACTGAGTCCTTGCCATCTGTGCTTCCAAACAGTGGCATTCCTTTAGCGTGAAGGTCTCTTGCTGCTGTTAAAACCCTTTGGATGAACGTTGCTGTGCTGAGGTTGATACGCAAAGTCTAATCTGCTTTGCACGTGGGGTGACCTTTTGCTCTCCTAGTAAACTCAAGGAGTAGTCGCAAAAAATTTCCCCTGGAAAAACTTCTTCCTTACAGGCTTTAAACATCTGTAGAAATTGTCTTGTGTGAGCAGCAAGTCAGGGCCTTGGTTTCCAGTAAGGCACAACAGTGAGTGTGGTCTAATAGGCCTTTAACCCTTCCAACACTGTCAGTCTCGGGGTCTACTCTGCAGTATGTGCATCCGAACACATGCCCAGGGTTACAGCCCTGGTGTTCTGGCTGTGCTTAATTGGAAGGAACACTGTTCTGTCCTAAAGGGCCTGCAGTCAAAAAAAATTAAATCAAACAAACAGAGGTTATGGTCACTGGGAGGTCACTTAGCCTGTCTTGTGTGAGAGAAGAGGGATTGGATTGCCTTTGGGGTCTTGTGGATGTCATACAGAAATGTCAAGTTTGAGTATGAAATGGTATAGGTTACATCTAGGGTTTTTTTGTGTGTCTCTTTTTAAGTAGTTTTAACCAGGATTGTGATCTTCTGCCTGTCTATTACAGTAGCATGAATGTTGGCCTGAGGGGCGTGGGAGTGGAGGCAGGGCTGTGTTAGTGGTAGGACTGGCTTATGTCAGATCAAAGGGTTTGGGAAATTACTATCTGAATTGAGCTGCCAGGGTGTGTTACCTTCTGGCAGTGAGTTCACAGTGTCTCTTCTGTGGGTGGATTTTTGTATCACATATTGAGGTGAGCCTGAAGGTCATGTCAGACTGAGGTCCATTTTTGTTGAAGTTGTACAGAAACTGGTAATTGGCATCTCTGCCCAAGAAGCTTATGATCCCAAAGACAGGGTGAAGCAAATTGTTTTGAACTGTTGGCTGATATTTACTTAATGATCTTAATCTGATTAAAGAGGAGAAAACCCTCGTTTATCTGATGTGAAGGATCTCATTGCAGGAAACTTTGAAGGCAAACGTCAAAGGAAACCTACTAAAAAGCTCTTGGAATCCAATGATTTGGACACTGCCTTTATGCCAAAGAAGGAGGAGTGGACTCCCCAAAAGAAGGTACTTTCCTTCCAGCTCTTTTGAAAACTGGATAGAAAACAAGCCTAGACAGCTTGAATGAGCCGCAGTGCAAGGGGATGTGGTTTTCTCTTGGCTGAGGTCCAGGAGCAAAGGTCCACCCTTCCCAAAGGTGCTGCTTGCTGTGTTATGATGAGGAAATCTACTGTTCCCCACCCCTCCCCACCAGGGTAGTTTTGACTGTAAAATCTCCTTTCTTTATTGATTTTTATGGAAAAGGAGTCATCTGATTGCTGGCTGAAGTGTTCTTGTGCAGAGGCTTTCTGTCGTGTTGCAGCGTGGCTTGAGCTTGAACCTAAGGCTTTGTCCTTTTCCATCAGATTCCCTCTGAGCAGTGTTTCCTTCCCAAGTGAGCTGATGAACAAGCATAAGTGCAAAGCTTGTAGCAAGATGGAAGCTTGAGTTGAATCATGTGTAGGATACAGTGCTTGGTTCAGATTTTTAAAGAAAATACTGCTCTTTCCTCACTAAATACTCAATATTCAGTGATGGAGTTTGAAAAAAAGCAGCTTGTCTTTATTTCATGTGGTGTATGCACACAAGACTTGTTGCCACAGTTCTAAGGTTAAGTAATAACACTTCTTTCTTTCTTTTTTTTTTTTTGAGTGGCACAGTTTTAGTACAGTTATCACAATTGCAGTAATGCAGAGGTTGGTATATTCCAGTCTTAGACTGTAAAAGTGTAAAGCCAGAGAGTCTCTCTTCCCAGCACCTTACAGGGGTTTGCAGCCTCTTTAGGAGAGCTCTGAAAACAGTGGATGATGCTGGTGAGCATAGGACAGAGCAGCTGACTCAGCGTTTCTCCAAGCCCAGAGACTGACCTTTACATGTGGGATCTATCACACACATAAAACAAATGTTTTCTTGTAAAATCCCTAATGACTGATGAATGAATTCATGACCTGAACTGTAAGTTACATGTTGCAGTCAATCGTGAAGGCTGCGTGGCTGAGGAGTGCACACCTCTGTTCTGCATCTAGTGACTTGACTCTCCTGTGTGTTTGTAGGGTACTGGCCCTTCAGAGAGCGACAGCTCTGAGCTCTACTCACCAGCCCACTTTCAGGACCTGGGAGAAGGTAAGTGAAGGCAGGGATGGTGGGACAGGCTGTTGGTGACATTTGGATCAGTGCCTGTGGCACTACCTGTGTGTGGGGGTGTGTGTGTGTGTAAGGACTTGGTCATTAGCAAATGAGAAGAAGTACTGATACTGTTTATCTCCAGTATAGTTATGCTTTTGATTTCCCTCTGGAAAGTGGAGAAGTGTATTCATGTTTCCGTGAGAAGCTGTTCACTTCTCATTGATAGTCTGTGTGCTTGAAGGGAGCTTGTCAGCACAGGTCCTGTAGCAACATGCTGTCTTTTGCCTGATGACATGCTGTGACCAGGCCCAGCAGTGGCTCCCTGTCCTGTGGACAGCTACACCTTTCCCTCCTGCCTTTGAATCCCATCAGTATCAGCATGAGAAGGTTTCTACTGCAGTGCAGGAGGAGGTAGTAATGAACATTTGATTAGCAACGTAAGCTTTGTGTTGGTACCATTTCTTATTTTCTGCTGGGTGGGCTGTCTCAGCACAGTGATGCCGTTCTGCAGCCCAGCAAAATGATCTTAAACCAGTATAAACTGGGTTTCCTCTGAAAGCTGTAGGGCAGAAGACAGAGTACCTAGAGGCTGGTATTGCCACAGTCCCCTGGAGCTCTCAGAAAGGGGGTAGAACTTGCTGGTGTCACCTGTAGCAAGGAAATTATTTCTGCATTTTCTTTGAATGGTCTTTCTGGTTCATCCCAGCTTCTGAAAAGCTCTTGGAGAAACAGCGGAAGCGGAAGAGACAGCGCCATACCACCGCTGCAGTCCATTCCAAGAAGGAGAAAAATGAGGAGGGGCTGGGGGAGACCCCACACTCTGAGGTACTTATAAGGTCTTCCTACATGCTGTTGTCCCTATGTCCTGTCTATACTTCCCAGGGCACTTGGCAGAGCCTAGACCAGGGCATCCTTGGCTGTCTGGCCAAACTGGAAGTTTGTCCCACTGATGCAGTTTTATGGCTGAAGATACCACCTTGATTTAGTAGCTGTTTTGTGATCAGTGCTTAACTTGGGCTCTGTTTTTAAACTGCTACTCAGCTAATTCTCCGGGGGAGGTGTCGTTCTGAATGGATGGAACCAGGTTTTGCCTGGCATCTTGCTTTGCACCTCAGAAAATCAAACTGCTGTGAAAGGTCTTCTCTGGTGGTGATGGTGGGAATCTTGCCCTTGCACCAGTATGAAGCACAAGCACTAGACTGGTTTTCAGCTCCTTCTGCTTGCACCTGCAAACCAGGGTGAGCCAAGAACCTCCTTGAGAGGGCTGGGGGGGAACTGTTGACTGCTCACAAGAGCCTCTGATTGTGTTCTGCCATCCAGCAGAAAGAGCTAATTGGGGCAACCTCCTACTGTATCCCAGCAGGGTCAACATACAAATCTCTCTGACAAACACATTTTGCCTTTTAGGAATGAGCCAGGTATCACCAAATGTAGGGAAAGCAAGACTTCCTGGGACAGGCAGGACACCTCTGGGCCTCTCGCTATCGCCTCCCACTTCCAGTGGCCCAGGTTCAGCAGCAGGCAGGATAGTCAGTATGTATTTTAGGAGCCAGTTATAGATATATATTGTTTTACTTGTTGTTGTTACACAGCATCCAGGAGAGCACAAACCTCACACCACTTTTTAACAGTTCCAGCCACTGTACTGCTTTCTGGAAAGGGCATTTCTGATGAGATTGGTAATTTGGGGTTATACCCCATGACCATTAAAGCCTTCCTGTGCTGGTGTTAGTGCTCTTTCTGAAGTGTGCTCATCTGACATCGTGTTTCAAAGCAGCCTGTACAAATATCTTTGCCAATGCTGGGGAGAACAGTTAACACTGTCTGCAGTTAAGTCCCCACTAAGAGCCTGACCTGGCTCTGAGGCAGCAAATTCTCTGTGAAAAGAGGAGCTGTTCAGAGCAGCAAAGATCTAGGCCATGGGTCAGAATCCTGCACCCACCACTCACTGCAGAGGAAGCCCAGTTTTAACTGCCTCCAGCCTTAGACAACTGTGTTGAGTACTTGAAGTTAATTATGGTGTGAACCATGCCAAACAGAAATGTCAGTGCTTGGCACCTTTGCCAGCATCTGTTTCTGTGTGATTGTGTCTCTTGAGCTGCTGTGGTGAGAGTGTTCATCCCTTGGCTTAGGTGAGTACATGGGTTCTGGTGAGTACTGGGGTGCTGTGGACACACAGTTGTGCTTCCAGGCAGAATTGAGACCGTGCTGGTCCCTCGGTGACTTTGCACACACCAGGCAAGGAACTCCACTTTGAGCTCAATGGTGCTAGAAGAAATAGATGATCTGATGATACAGCAGTGAAGCCTGGGACCCAGCTGCCTGCCAAGGAAAAGAGGGCAGAGGAAAGCTTGTCAGCCTAGGCTGAGCTAAGCAGGTTTCTCTGTCCTTGCCTGTCTGTGGAGCCAGGAGTGCAAATTTACAACATCAGGGCAGTAAGAGACTGAGAAAAGGGGATGGAAAATGCTGCTGAAATGGTTGTCAAGGTTCTAAGCCAAGGTCAGGCTGTGCCAAAGAGCAGGCCATGCTTTTGGGGATGTGCCAGACACAGCAGCAGGGATAGCTCTGGAAGAAGACCAGGGATTAGCCCTTCTTTCTGCAGGAGGTATGTAGATTTGTAGTGTTGCAGTGCTTATGCTGGGCAGGGGAAGGAGGGGGAACAGTGACAGGTCTTTTGAGTGATGGCTGTGAGTGGAGATCCCCTTCTCCCTGTTCACAAAGGATGGGCTTTGCCCATCCTGCCTAGCTCTGATGTTCTCTTCCCTATGCAATTCTGGGAGCAGTGTTAGAATAAGGCTGAGATCATGGCATGTGGAATGTGTGGATTGACCAGCTGTTTTCAGAACTGAATTGGATGTGTTTAGGCTGACAGAGCAGGGCTAGAACATGCTGTGCCACCCTGGGCAGTGTGAGCCTAGTTGTTAAGTAACGTTGCTACTAGCAAATGCTTTCAAATCCAGAGAGGGAGCTGCTGATTAATGTTCTAGGACTCCTCGATCCATTTTAGTGTCCCATTTCATTAACACATGAAACATGTTCATCAGGGTTCAAACCAAGGAGTCCTGCAGCCATGGAACTCCATGGTCCTTTAGCCAGGGGAGAAAGCGACCAGAAGGATGGAAAGACAAACCAGTTCTAAATCCCACATACCTCTACCTGTAGCCAATCTGAGTATGTCCCCCTGCTTCCAAAACACTACCTTGAAGCCTTAACTACAACAGGAAGCTGATGCCACTGACTGTGTGATATGTGGTTCTTGTTTACCAGCACCCTGCCCCTCCTGACAGGGACCTCAGTGACCATGAGAGCAGATGAGCTCACTGTGTCTGTAACTCTAGGGCCCCAGCACAAGCAGAAGCTATAAGCTGACATTGTTTGCCCATACCAGTAGCTGATTAACCCTGCACTTGTTCTCCATTACAGTGACCCAAGGTGTGACTCTTGGGGATGGTCCTGTGCAGGGCTAAGAGTTGGACTTGATGATCCTTGTGGGTCCCTTCCAACTCAGTATATTATGAGATTCTGTGACCTATGAAAGCCTGAGATCACTGCTGGGCTGAGCAGAAGAGGGAGCACCGATGTAGGAATAGGAGGACCTGTGCTGTAAGCTGTCCTTGGAGCACTGGTCACCAGTGCTGCTCCTGAAGCATTCCAGGAGCCAAAGCAAGTGTTTGGGCCAGAGAGCTGCCCTGCAGCAGACTACATAATTCCTAGCAGAAATACAGCTGCAGGAGGAGAAGTATTGTAGCACTTAACCTGGAGAAGATGCATATAGAGGCAAAGATGGCTGTTATGTTCTTAGATGGTCTTTTTGCCAATGGTGTAGAGACCTTTCCTCTCCCTCTGCCAGGGCTGTGTGGTAGGGTGGCAGCAGCTTATGTGCTCCTTATCAGTATTCCCACAGGCTGCATCGCTGCCAGCCTTCCAACAAGACTGTGCTGATAGTCAGCGAGGCTGTACTCTGTAAGGTGTGTTGGACTGGTAGTAGTTTGTAGCTGGGACTTTGCTGCTTTTTTTTTTTTTGTGCTCAATAAAGGCAATTTATACCATTCATCTTTGTACTGTGTGCTTTAATATACCCTCATTGCTTCACAGAACTCACATGGCTTTAAAATGTCCCCAAATAAAATCATTCTGCTCCATTCAGGGAACAGGGAAGAAAGACAACAATACCAGGCAAAGGAAGCATCGTTAGAACAAAATACCAGCTCCAGGTTTTTCCAGCTTTAAACTTTAGAAGATCTTTATGTCCTTGTTTTGCTCCGACTTAAAATGTTTTCAAAAGGCATTCAGTTCAACTTACAAGCTTTAGTAGCACCACAACTCAGACTTTCCTATACAGAAAGTGGTGCAAAGCTCCCTCTTGTGATCGTTTGCTGGACACCCTGCACCAAACAGGCCTGGAGGTGTGGGAGTGATGTCTACTGCCTCTGCCAGCAGCTTGAATTCCTTACAAGGTCTCTCAAGTGTACAGTGTGTGTCTGTGTGTACACTGGGTACAGCTTAGTGACCCAAGAAGGAACTGACATCTATGCACTGGTCTCACTCAGCTAATTGCAGTGAGCCAGGATGTTAAAAAGTGGCAGAGTCCTTAAAATGTTTTTACTCAAAGCACTTAGCTGAAGGCATCACTTTGGTGGAGAATTAATAGCTCTTAAGTTGTACCCACTCTGGAGTGGCAGCTGGGGCTGGTGAGACCACTGAAGTGTTTTTCCCTAGACTATACCGAGAGGGCTCAAAGTTGGCAGGATGGTGTTTCCTAGGTTTTAGTTGCCTGTCCTGACAAAATCTGTGCCAATGCTGCCATGTGTAGCTCCAGGACAACAGTATCTTGTGGTAGAAATAAGTGTCACTAGGATACCTACTGCTCTCCTTCCCTCTAACTCCAAAGTGCTTGGGGCAGGTCCCATGGACATGTCAGATACCTTGGGAAGCCTTTGGCAGGATCCCTGACTTGGCCCATAAGGGTGCAATTGGGCCTTTATAATTTGAAATCCATTGTCCCACAGGATGCTCTTCCACCAGTAGATGTTACCGGCAGTGCTGTGACACTTGCGCAGGACAGATGCTTGTGGGAGACTCTGCACCCCAGGCAGGGTGGGGTGTAGGTGCCCTGCTGTGCTGCTCACTTTTGGATTCAATTAATGTGTTGGATCATTGAGTTCATACCATGCTTTCAGTAGCTTCATGCCTGGTATTTTACGTGGGTTAGGACATGCTGAGATGAACATGGGGAAAAGTATAGTTCATTTAGTGAGTGACAGCTGCTATGAAGATTGAGGTTTTTCATTTGTGTTTCCAGTACAAGTAGAAACTGGAATGCTTCTCACTATTTCAGCCTACCTGATTTGTTTCCATTCAGGGCATGAATGCCTGCTTGCTAAGGAAGGGGTTACGCACAGGAAGATAATTGAGTGTGTATTTTTTAATCACCTAATAAACACAGATCCCTTTCCTTTTTTATAAGTCTTTTGGTGGAACTGTACAGGGCATGTTCTCTCCAGGGTGGGTAACACACAGAGACCAATTGCCAAACCTGTTATGTGCCTATGGCTGAATTTGTAGTTTCCAGGTCAGCTACTGACAGCCCTGACTCTGGTTTTCTGGTTAAAGGGGGAGACGTCGATTCATGGGACAGCTGCAAGCCCAAAAGAGGGTAATGAAGAGGGGTCAGAGAATGACCATGGAGTGCCTTCATCCAAAAAGATACAGGGGGAGCGTGGAGGAGGAGCAGCTCTCAAGGAGAACGTGTGTCAGGTAGTGTTCTTGAAGAAATCACTTTGCCACTGTAAAGTGTTTTAGTGTAAGTTCTGAGACACACTGGTGCCCCAGGTAAGCCCAGGGAGCCTCAAGGTGCTTATTGTAGAATGAATCAAGCTTTCGTGCTGTTTTGAGCCTTTCCTCTACAATAGCCTTTCCTTCTACTAAGCTTCACAGGCGTTAATGAGATGTGACCAGTGCAGGATTCATTTTAGCTGATGGGTGGTATCAGGGACTGGATGGCAAATGGCAGTGGGGATGTACAAATCACCTGACTTTACTGACACAGAGAAAATGTAGCATTTTTCCACAGGAGTCCACAGCTCTGGCCAGCACACGGATGGTTGTTGTCTGGGAAGGAGATTGCTCAGAGCTGTGTTTCTTTCCCCACAGATCTGCGAGAAGCCAGGGGAGTTGTTACTGTGTGAGGCACAGTGCTGTGGTGCTTTCCACCTGCAGTGCCTTGGGCTCTCCGAGATGCCAAAGGGCAAATTCATCTGCAATGAGTGTTCCACAGGTATGGCAGCTTCTGCGTGTGCAGTTTCAGGGTGCTTCCTGCAGGCTTACCTGGTTATTCTTTGGCTGGAGGGCTGTTCCAACAGTAGAGCTGTTAACTAGCTCTCAGTCCTCAGATTATTGGTTTGCTGTCTGATAATGACTTTCTAATTAAAATCATAGAATGGTTTGGGTTGGAAGGGACCTTAAAGATCATCCAGTTCCACTCTGTGCCATGGGCAGACACACCTTCCACTAGACCACGTTGCTCCAAGGACTGTCCAACCTAACCTTGAACACTTCCAGGGATGGGGCAGCCACAGCTTCTCTGGGCAACCCATTCCCTGGTGCATGCCCCACCACCCTTACAACCAAGAATTTGTTCCAAATATCTAATCTAAACCTATTCTCTTTCAGTTTGAAGTCACTAACAATGGCTTCAAATATTAACTAGTCTTACTGTTGATTCAGACATGTAGGGTGCAAAGAAGTGAATGTCCAGCATCTGGTGGGAAAGAGAGAGGGAAATTCTTATCTGAGACTAGGGAGAGACGGCTGGTGGGGAGGGTGAGTCTGATGTGGGCTGGAAATGTCAGAGTAGGGTTGTTAATTTTATGATTTTCTTCTTTTTTCCCTGGCCTGAAGTCCCAGCTATAATAATATTTTTTTTCAATCTGGAGTTTTGTTGCAGCTGCAGGCAAAACTAGCCTGGTGCAGAGAGCTGTGCTCTGGGATGGGTGCAGCCAGGCTGGGAAGTTGTGCTGTGCTATCACGCAGCCTGGTGGACATATCAGGTCCTCGTTTAGCCTTCCTATGCGACCGATGTGTTCTCTTTCTCCAGGGGTCCACACCTGCTTTGTGTGCAAGAGCTGCGGGGAGGATGTGAAGCGGTGCCTGCTGCCCCTCTGTGGGAAGTATTACCACGAAGCCTGCATACAAAAATATCCACCCACGGTCATGCAGAACAAGGGCTTCCGCTGCTCCCTGCACATCTGCATGACCTGCCATGCCGCTAACCCAGCAAACATCTCTGCGTCTAAAGGTACTGAGTCTTTCAGGGTGGTCTAGGTGGTGCAGTTACATGCTTTTTCTATGTTTCACATCCACTGTGCAGCTACCTGGTCTTTATGTTGCCTTTCTGTCCTTGCCACATGTTGTTTGCTGAGGAATAGCTTCTTCCAGAGGAGTAGAAGGGGTGGTGTGAGGCAGCTGCAAGCCTCACACTGCTTGTGTCATACCTGGCAGCTGGAATGTGGTCATACCTGGCAGCTGGAATGTTCTCAGGCTTTCCAGAGGCTCAAATTCCTGCATGTCCAGCCACACCATGTGCCTTGCTGGTTTTTTCAGCAAATCCTTGGAACTGTACAGACACAGTCTTGTTTCTCCAACCTGCTTCTCCCTGTGCCAGTGCTGCAGATAGTGCCTTTCTTAGCAGCACTGACTGTCAACGCAGTGGAAGGCAAACTATGATTTTGTTCTAGTTCTCCTTTTTTTTTAATGTAAACTCTTGTCTTGTAGTAACACTCTTGGGCTAAGCTTCCCAGGCAAACATTTGTTGGAGCTGTTTGCAGCAATACCTTGACCTTTATCTCACAGGATTAAACTTAAAACTTTTATGTGATTGCTGCGTATGTTTGCTTCTAAAGCTGCCTTTCTTTAAATCCTTGGTATCTTAAGGCAAGTGTCAATAAGACCAACTCTATTTTTGTCCTCAGGGTCTGTGTTAAAGTTGCCTTTTTTTCCCCCCACATATCTTGCTGTAGAAAACAACACCAATGCCTAAAGCCTGCAGCCCACAGCCAGCCACGTCCCCACTGAACATTTGTTGACTGGCTGCAGCTTCTTGGTGGTCACATTTACCCCTTTTCTCCCACCTCTTCTTCCTGTTTGTAGTCTGCTGTGAGGAACCGAAAACAGGCTCTCAAACTTGCATAAATTAGGCCTGTAGGCAAGTGCATTGCCTGGAAGTTCTGGAATTTCAGGGTAAAATCTGATAAAGAGGCAAGTGCTGATGTTTTCAGAAGCTACGTGGATTGATTTCACTATGTGCAGCTAAGCACTTGGAACACCCCCTCTGTAATTACTGTCTGAGCTGATTTAGTAATTATATGTGTATGATAGGAAGCAGTCCCAGTCTGTGAACTCTTGAACTGTTTCTGCACAGCATGCAGGAGGTTTTTCACTTGTAAATAATACTATTTTATCTATGTTATATACAAATATGTATTAAAGATTTATATACAGTATGTTATATTAAATAATTTAATAGGAATCTAATGAATATGTCAGTGATGGTCTATGAAAATTAAAGGTCACCTTCCTTTTCCAAAGCTCATTCTGAGCTTAGTTATGAATAGAGTCTAGTTTTAGACGGAAAGAGTCATCCTCCTTTAGAGGTTCACTGTGTTCTGGTGTGTTCTGGTGCTAGGTCGTCTGATGCGCTGTGTGCGGTGTCCGGTCGCGTATCACTCCAACGATTTCTGCCTCGCTGCTGGCTCCGTGGTCCTCGCCTCCAACAGCATCATCTGCCCCAACCACTTCACCGCACGGAGGGGCTGCCGCAACCACGAGCACGTCAACGTCAGCTGGTGCTTTGTCTGCTCGGAAGGTGAGATGGTCTGCGCAGGGTCCCCTGTCACCAAGGAATGCCCTGACAGGGATTCATTAGAGGGGGCAGAAGCTTTTCCCACCCAGAGTGTGCCAGTGAGAAATGCAGAGAAACAGACTGGCTTCCTATCCATCCATACTTAAGCCTAACTTCAGGCTAGGACCTTTTCTAGATCCTTAGGAGGGTTCTTTTTGTAGCGTGAGTAGGGCCCAACTTTTTAAAAGAGCTTGCAGGAGAGCATGGTTCCTTTTTCCCAGCTGTGTCTGTCTGGAAGTGTTGAATCCAGGGCTTCTGCACAGTAACTGATAAATTCCTCCTCCTTCTCTTTGCAGGGGGCAGCCTTTTATGCTGCGAGTCGTGCCCGGCTGCATTTCATCGTGAGTGTCTAAACATTGAGATGCCAGAGGGAAGCTGGTATTGTAATGATTGCAAGGCAGGCAAAAAGCCACACTACAAAGAAGTAGTCTGGGTGAAAGTTGGGCGCTACAGGTAGGTGAAGGTAGAACAGACTTCTCCCCATCCCTTCTTCATCCAGTGCTCATGGTGATGGAGGTGAGAAGCTACTCCTCTCTAGAGGGTTCAGTGCAATAGCCTCTGACTTTTTTTGCATGCACTTAGCTGGTAAAATGTGAGCTTTCCTCCTCCAGTAGCTTCCTGTCTCCCCACCAGCCTTGCTGATAGCCCTCACACAGACTTTCCCATGTCCCCATGCAGTAGCTTACTTCTGAGGTGGCTAGAAGTGGGGAAGCCAAGGGTTTCATCTGCCCTTCCCTGTGTTGCAGGTGGTGGCCAGCTGAGATTTGCCATCCTAGGACAATTCCTGTCAATATCCAGAAAATGAAGCATGACATCGGTGAGTTCCCTGTGCTGTTCTTCGGCTCCAAGGATTACCTGTGGACCCACCAGGCTCGTGTGTTCCCTTACATGGAAGGTGATGTCAGCAGCAAAGACAAGATGGGGAAGGGCGTGGATGGCATATACAAGAAAGGTAACTTTTCTTTATCCAGGGAAGTGTGCATGATGTTTTCCTCTTCATTCCCATTTGGAGAAGTGGCATTCCTGTAACAGAGGAGGATGTCTTCTTGTAACTAAAGTGAAATGAAATTTGTAGAATGAACTGCTGCTTGTGTATCATCCAGGACACTCAGGATGTTTGTTTGACTCCCAGAGAGGCAGAAGGGTGTGCAGATCTCGAATGCTTCTCTGACGTAATCTCTTGAAATCCGAGTGAGCTGCTGCTTTATCAGCTTCCCTTTGTCTAATACAATCATTATCTCTATACAAAAGTGCACTTGAGAGTTGTGATGCAGCTGCTGGTGCCTCTGCCCAAGAGGCAAAGATAGCCACCAGTTGGCTACCCATGGGTAGGTCTCTGACTGTAATTTCTGCACTGCCCTGCTGCTTTGGCCTTTTCTTCACCCCCCTTCAGTGAGCCTTTGCCTCTGGAGTGCAGAGCCAGGCTGGTTTGCTTGTGGAACTGTGAGCACTGGGTGGGCAATGGCTGCCCAGCTCTGTGTGAGCAGAGAGAGTTCCTCATAACACAGCCTGTTCTCTCACTTAGCTCTTCAAGAAGCTGCTGTGAGATTTGAAGAGTTGAAGGCACAGAAAGAACTGAGACAGCTTCAGGAAGACAAAAAGAACGACAAGAAACCTCCTCCCTACAAACATATCAAGGTGAGGGGAGGTGGTGGGGGGCAGGTGCGGAAGAGAAGCCTTGAGCTGTCGGTGCAGGTGATTTACAGGTATACAGAAACATTTCTACTGTTTGGGTGTCTGACTGTGTTTGACGGTTACTTTGGTCCTCTTGGCATCCTCAGTTGTTCTCCAGTTCCAGTTCATGTATGTGCAGGGCTGCAGCAAGCTTGGCACCAGTAACAGAGGTGCTCTCATTTCCTGGAACAGATCTGGACATGTCTGTGTTGTCCATGTCAGTTGTGTGATCTGAAGGAAGTGTCTACCTTGAGAACTTGGGAGAATGCTGGTAATGCTCAATATGCTCAAATGCTTCATGTTGCTGACAGCAAGGTGGGCAAATCAGGTGGTGCAGGACAGGAGGTGGTCTGGGTGCAGTGCAACAGAGCTCCGTGGAGGGTGGTAACCCACAGTATCTTGTATCATCTCTGCTATTTTTTTTTGATCTCTTTCTGTATCAGTGACTGAACAGAAATACTAAAGGGGATGTACATGCTGAAATGCCAACCCTTTTCCTCAGTTTTGGGTAACTGTTCATGTTAAGGGCTGTATTTGGAGTTAGAGTTGGAACAGCAATAGAAATGCTACAGGGTGGAGGTGACTTGACAGGAGAGCTGGGCCATGGTGTACCTGTGCATGAGATGTGGGTCCCAACTGACCAGAAACCTGTTGACTCAGGGACTCTGTTTTGTTTTTTTTTCATTGCCTCTGTCTGCTCCTTCCCTATTTTATATGGCAAACTGTGGGAACATAACTGTTTACTGGCACTTTTTGTGTCTAGTTAGAATTTCTAGGCAGGCAGGTATATTGTGCATGAGTTATTGTGCACTGTAAAGAGCACAACTGAATGCTGTGGCAGCAGTATGGGCCAGGCAGTTTCAGTGGAGGAAGTAGTTTCTCATTATAGCTATTTTTAGGCCTGTCTCTGGCCGCAACATGAAGGAACTTTGGAAGCAGTTTGGAGCCTTTGAAATACCCTTTTATATAAATAATAACGGTTGTGGTCATTAGTCATGGCAACTCTTCTGAGATCTGGGTGCAAGCTGTTTGTCTCTGTGAAAGCAAAGCAATTTGCAGGAGCAGATGGTGAACTGAAGAAGGCTTCAGAGTGGAATGGCTGAAGGTGGTTGTGTCCATTCCTGTTCTGGTTTTTTAAGATCAGCACGTCAGGATCCATACCAAGGATCACCAACACAAGAAGCTGCTGCAAAATACATTTGGGATCCTTCACCCTGTCAGAGTTGTGACTAGTCCAAGCATCACCCTGTTTTGGAGTTGGTTTTGTTCTGGAGAGTAGGGCAGGTGTGCTGGGCATGTGTGGAGTGGCAATGCCAGAGCAGTGCCAGTGGTGGACTGACCTAATCTGTGAGTCTTGCCACTCTTAATGACGTGATGAGTCTGGGTAAGAGATGGAAAGTAGCAGAGGGGAACATGAGTGACAAGGAAGGTCAGAGGTGGGAGGCAGTACTAGGAGGAAAGGGGGAGACAGTGCTGAAGAGATTAATGAGGGATTTCTGCAGGGTTTGCTTTTAAAGAAAGGAGGAGGATCAGGACTGGGCCAGTCTCAGGCAGGCTGTCAGCACGGAAACTCTGCCCTGTGGGTGGGACTAGATAAATTATATGGGGGGCTGGAATAGTTTTGCTAAATGATTCCTTCCTTTCATGTTCTGGGAGAGGAAAGTGAGCCAGTGGCTCACCTGGGGAAAGAACAGCAAGGAGCTTTTCTTCAGTTTCTCTCTCCAAAGTCCTGACTCTCTGTTGCCTGCCTTTCAGCGTTCGCTGCCTTTAACCAAACCCAAGGGACCCAGCTCATGCCACAGACACGCCAGTCGCTTCTCCACCTGGTGCTGCACTCTGCTTCCTTCTGGAGCGGTTTTTAAAGAGCTCCTTGGCTTATCTCTGAGCTCATCTCTGGGCCTTCCAACCCCAGCCTTGTCTGGTTTGGCTTCCATTAACATCTGCAGGACAGTTGGGTAGGGAGGTAACTGTGTGGTAGGCCGTCTGTCACAGGTCTGCCAGCCTAGTTCTCATAGTGACATCTGAGGCCACAAACCAGCCTGATGGTAACATTAAAAAAACAGGGCAGTAAGGAAAAGCTAAGGAAAAGCACCTGGCACTCAGACTGTAGAAGGTGCAGTTTGATGCAGAAAATGGTTTGGTGTTGATCACAGGTATGGTGTGCGCCCAAGAGGGAGTGCTGGGCCACTTGCGCTGGATGTGATCACAGTGGTTATGGGAGGGGGGCACTTTCCAGGGTCACATATTACACACTGCACCAGGTGATGCTAATGGGGGACCCACATCTTCCTGAGCTCTTCCCTTTAACCCTGTGCCTCTTAAAATAGTCTTCCCAGAAGTACAGCTGTGCCTATACTCGTGTCCTTCTGCCCTCGCTGTAACTAAATCACTGCAGCACATCAGCTCGTAGGCAGGGGTTCAGTGTAGAAGTGCCTGTCAGGATAACTCATTGTTCCCAAGAGCTCATGTCCTTCGTGTGCATTGAAGGTGAACCGGCCGGTGGGGAAGGTGCAGATCTTCACTGCAGACCTGTCCGAGATCCCACGCTGCAACTGCAAACCCACCGATGAAAACCCCTGCGGCCTGGACTCCGAGTGCATCAACCGCATGTTGCTCTACGAGTGCCACCCCATGGTGTGTCCTGCTGGGGAGCGCTGCCAGAACCAGTGCTTCTCCAAGCGCCAGTATCCCGAGGTACAGATCTTCCGCACGCTGGCACGAGGCTGGGGCTTGCAAGCCAAAACAGACATCAGGAAGGTACGTCAAACTGGCTGCAAAGCGCAGAGAGAGATTTTTAGGAAGGAAACAGGAGCTAAGTTTTAGCACAAAGATGGATGTCCCTCCCTCCTGCAGGGAATTTGTCTTGTCTTATCAGCTTATTGTTTTCTCTCTGGCAGGGTGAATTTGTTAATGAGTATGTTGGGGAGCTAATTGATGAAGAGGAGTGCCGAGCCCGAATCCGCTATGCTCAGGAGCACGACATTACCAATTTCTACATGTTGACACTGGATAAGGTATGTGAAAGGAATCATTTGCCAGGATCCTAGACAGAAGTAAAATGATTGCAAAGAAGGCATGACAGTGGTCTTCTCCAACTTGTAAAAAGGTGCTAAGAGTCAATGATGAGCTGGTCTGCATTTCCACTGAAGAGATGACCAAATGAATGGACTTAACATGCAGTAGAGAAGCCTCAGGTTGGATATTAGGATTAGGAGGAAAGTCTGAACTGACGACTTTGGAGTTTGTTCAGAAGAGGTGAGGCAGTTTTTTGAGGACAGTTGTCTGAGGATCATAGATCCTGCTTCAGCATAATAGGGAGAATTTGGTAACCTTGGGATCCTTCCCAGCAGCTGAACCCTGGAGAGCCCAGACCTGGACAGATATGTGCCAGAGAAGGCATTGGCCCTCACATGTGCAAGTTTCAGGTGCAGTGAGACCTTCATTTAAGTTCAGATCCCAGGTCTTGCTGTGCTACGTAGAGCCAACAGAGTTAGTTACACCCATAGATGCCTCAGTGGGTCCTGGACAATAACCAGGTTGTTGGTATGCACTCCTGGCTTTCAGAGGTAAGTTATTTTGTCAGATGCTTCCCACACTTTGTCACTCAGCCTTGGAAAGATGAGAAGGAAACCATGAAAGCAAGCATGGAAAAGAGCTGTCAAGTGTGGGACAGGATAACTGTGATTGTTTTCTGTCTCTCCCCTCTGTCTTGCTGGAAGTTCACACTCACCATATCTTGTTCTCTTTGTCTGGCTGATGGGTGAGATCAGGGGCAAACCCAAGTGTTAATGTCCCTCATTATTACAAAAGCAAATCTCAGTTGCAGCTTCCCTGTCCAGCACAGTCTAACACATGGCAGTGTGCTGTACACAAGTGTACCTTATTTTACATACTGTTCCTGTTTTCCTTCTATACACTGACGTGCAAGAAATAGGAACTGGTATTTTGCTTTTAAGCAGAAGTTGGGGCCTGGAACCACAGGCACTGCCTTGGAAATGTTGGGGTGGTGTTTATCCAGTACTGACACTGCAGGGAGAGCTTGCTTCCCAGAAAGCAGCAGTAGCACTGTCTTGACTGTTCTGGAGCCTGTGTGTCTTTTAAGAGGAAGATGATGTGCAGGAGACTGTAGTTCCATATGATCTGCCAGCGCTGACCAGAAATGTCAGTGCAGGAAATGACAGTTGATTAAAATGTGGTTTTCTGGGCTTTTTTTCAATTCCAGGATCGAATCATTGATGCTGGGCCAAAGGGCAACTACGCTCGGTTCATGAACCATTGCTGCCAGCCCAACTGTGAGACTCAGAAATGGTGTGTGAACGGTGACACACGAGTGGGGCTCTTCGCCCTTGTAAATATCAAAGCTGGTAAGGAGCTGCACTCTGTCAGTGCCTGCAGTTAACCCTGGGGGGGTTCTGTAATGAAAAAGGGAGGGTTTGTAGCTCCCTGGGAAGGGATTTAATTTTTGGTTCCATGTAGGCATTCATGAGACTTAACACCAGCGCTGACATAATGAAACACAAAGAGCCATGGTATCAATGGAGGTTTGTGGTTCTGATTTACAAGGACAAGAAATGGCCCTGCTACAGGGTGGATCCTTTATAGCTGTAATATGTGCTACAAGTGTGGAGTTTCACTGAATTTTCTATCCACAAAGATCTCTGGGAAGATTAAGAGTTTGGTGTCCTTGTGTAGTGGTGACAGCCTTCTGTGACATTTATATTAAGTGCTTTTACTTCAGCATTAAAATGTAGTTCATTACAACTTGCTTGGTTTTGATCTGCTTTTGTGCCAGGGACTGAGCTGACTTTCAACTACAATCTGGAGTGTCTGGGAAATGGAAAGACCGTTTGTAAATGTGGTGCCCCAAATTGCAGTGGCTTCCTAGGAGTAAGGCCAAAGGTATGGTGCATCCTTTAAGCTTTTGTTCTCCCACATCACCTCTTTGCATAGACCTGTATGTTTGTTGCAGAGATTTCAGATCCCAGTTAATCCTGTTTCAGTGTGGCTATGAGAACACTGCTTGAAATGAGTTAAATATTCAAGCTTTCATTTTGAGATAGCAGATCTTATACTTCAATTATCAGAGTTGCTATAAATAACGACGGGAAATTTTATTTTACAGCAAAAAAGTATCTAGAAGATTTTTTTCAGAATTTTCTGCTTCTTATCATGACAGTTTCCATTGCACTAGAGGAGCAAAGGACAGGCTTGGGATAGACTTCATCACGTAACTAAGAAAATACAACTCAGTTCATTTCCCAAAGTAAAGTGCTGAGTAAATTGTGAGCATGCATGAAAGGGGCCAGCAAATGCACATTCCTTCAGGCTGGAGTTGCTTTAGAGCCAGAAGGCTCCTACCTCACTGTCTTTGTTGCAGTAAAGTTCCTGGGTTTATCCTGCTTTTAATTTAGTAACCAAAGTTTACACATCAGACAGAAATGAGAAATTTGCCATATCTGTAGTAGAAAAATCACCAGTTTTTAGAACACGCTGACTTTTTGAGAGCTTCGATTTGCAACTTTGTAATGTTGCAGTAACAGGAATTGATTTCAATTACCTCCTTGTGTGAGCTGGTTCTCGCTGGGAAAAGGAAATAACAGGAGCAGTTGGCCAAGTTCCCAGCTGTCACCCGCTAAATCTATGTCTCAGCTGTTGGTTTGTTTCAAGTGCAAGACCAAATCAGTCTGTAATCCTTCTGCTCTGGCATGTGGATTCTGGCAGTTAAGGGTTAAAACAGCAGCAGCACAATTGTTCAGCCCTGTCAATATCTAGGGAAGGTTTTGTGAATTCTCCAGGGAGATTAGTTCTGCAGAAAAATTAACTTATAAAAATAAAAAATGGATGTCTTCAGAAGTTGACAGATGAGGTGAAATACACATCTGATGTATTTTAGTTCTTTTTCTGGTCGCGATTTAAAGTTCAATTGATTTTGTGCTGCTCCTGTGTTATACATGGTTTGACTGTCATTTTTGCCTTGAAATTGCAGGTTGCATGATGGAAATCAGAGGAAGGTGCCCTTTAGTTGGCATTAATGTTCCATTGTGGTGTCTGAGGCGACTCATTCCATCTTGATGAGATGGGCTAAGAAACAATACCTAGAAAACAGTACCTTGGGTTTTTTTGTTGGTGGTGTTTTTTTTAATTCCTACCACAATAGATTTTTAAGCTTCCTGAAGACATAGCAAGACAAAACTGATTATACTCAAGTTCACTCTTGAAAGTACCCTTTCTAACTGGGAGTGTGGAAGAATGCTTAGGAGTCTATTGTACTGCAGGGAGCAAGTGGAATTGCTTAGTCCAGCTGTTAGACCTCTCTTAGACATTCAAATTAGCTGTGAAGGGATTTTCTTGTTCTCTTTGTAATTAGATGGGCAAGGAACTAGACCCTGAGAATAGGTGGGAATAGTTTAGGTGGAGGCATTTCAGTGCCTGCATTTTTAGTGATAGGAAAGGCCTGGCTTGTCCCCATTGTCAAGGGGAATGGTGGTATAAAAACAGTAAGATCCACATGTGAGGAGGAAGGAAACAATTTAGAGATGTAAATCCTTGGTGGCAGGAAAGCTAGATAACCAACTCTGCAGAGTTCTGAAGTTATAGGTCTAGAGACCAAGGCTTTTAAATCTTTTGGTGGTTCTGGTGATGCAAATAGTGCCCAATATTTATGCAGAAGAAAGGATGCAAAAGTAGCCTTGTAGTCATTGTTTCAGCACACAGAGATGTCCTGCATGGAGAATGCATATTTGAACACGAAGAGATGTAGAAAACGGCACAAAATTCAGCTCATGTCTGCTTAGATAAACTAAATTGATAGTGCTTTGATAAAGTCAGGACTGGGGACAAGACAGCATCATCTTTGTGGAGCTGAGTGTTTGGCACAAGGGGAGGCTTGGCCTGGAGAGGAGGTTAGGAGTGGTCTGAGGACCAGGCTTGAAGGGGGAGTGGGGGAGCAGTGTTGGCCTTAGGCCAGAGAAGAACACTTAAACCATTTAGTTGCCTGTCTTGAGACCAGTTGTAGTTATTTCCTTATATGTCTGTAATTTAACTGTACTGATGACATGAATGTGTCGGTTGTCATCGATGTGGGAGAGGGAGAGGATGGGGCAGTTGCAAAGGAATAACTGAGTATAACAGGGAATGGACTGGAGTTCAGAGATTGGATATGCCATAGTACACACCTGGAGAGTAACAGCAGAAATAACTCTGCCATGAGAAGGTCATGGCTGAGCACTCATGGCCGAGAAAGAGCCATTCTGCAGCTCAGCTGCTGCAGGACTGAGCTGTGGTGTGACACAGCTATAGAAAAAGGCAAATGTGAGCAGTGCTTTGGGGAAGTGTTGATGTCATTGTACACAACCTGTGAGGTGTCATCTGAAGTAGCATGTGTAATTCTGTAACTTTTGTTTGGGATAAATACACTCAATATTGGCAGAGAAAAGCCATTGGGAAGACTGAGCATGCAGATCGAAAGTTTCACTTTGTGAAGAGGGGAGCGTGTCCCAGAGGTTACTTCAGGGAGACAGAAAAGCTTCAAAGGTTGGACTCGATGATCTTGGAGGTCTTTTCCAACCTAAATGATTCCGTGATTCTGGTGGAAAAGAGCAGTGTTGACACAAGAATAAACTGATCACAGATAAATTCAGACTGAAAATAGAGAAATGATGAACATCAGAAAGTGCAGGAAGGCCCTTATGAGACTCCTCATGAGTCGTGGGTACAAGGAGATCTGACTGCTTTGACTGAGGACCTGAAGAGTCTGTGAGAGGTGGCACGAGCTCAGTGACACCAGGCAGCCCCAACTCGTCATTCTGCTGTTGCTAATTGTGTATATCCCATGTTGTGAACCAGGCTTTGGTGCTTTTCAAAATAACTGAGAGCTGTTTGCTGTAGTGAATTGGTTGCCAAATATCAAGCAGCACTAGAGGTTCTGCAGAAGTTTCATGTATGGCTGGCAGTGGGGTTTCTGTTGACAGGATTTGCAGTTTTCTCCTGCAGCAGGAAGGGAGCAGGTGGAAGGGGCAGAGTCCTGCAGTAACCAAGGTTGTTTTGCCCACAGAGCCAGCCCAGCCTCACCGAGGAGAAGTCCAAGAAGCTGAAGAGGCGGCCGCAGATGAAGCGCAGGTCGCAGGCCGAGGTGATGAAGGAGCGAGAGGACGAGTGTTTCAGCTGTGGGGACGGAGGGCAGCTAGTTTCTTGTAAGAAGTCAGGCTGTCCCAAGGTGTACCATGCAGACTGCCTCAACCTGACCAAGAGACCTGCAGGTCAGTGCTCTGCATGGCTGGGCTCTGCTTGGGTCACACTGTTGGCTCGAGGTGGCCCAGGCGCTGCTCATCATCTTGCACTTGAGTCACAGCATCTTAAAATTTGGAAAAATCTTTCTCACTTGAACAGACCTCGTGGCTCAAATGACACAACCCTGGTTTGCACCCCACTGTGACCAGAAAAAGGTGAACTAATTGCTGAAGGGGGAGCTGGTCCTTGCCTAAAAAATGGTGTTTGTGAGTTGACCCCATCCATGGGCCCTGGCAGAGCACAGCCCCAACAATAGTTGAGATATTGATCCTCATATTGGCCATTTTCCCAAAGCTGAAGACAGTTGAGTGAGTTGAAAGGTGAGGAGAAGCACTGGTGGAAAATAGGAGTTAAAAATGAGTCTGTTAGGTGTCTCAGTAGCCATGAGTTTGTAGTTGAGAGAACAGTATCAAAGCATATCCTAGTTTGTGGTGAAGTGAGGGCAGAAATTTGAAATAAAAAGTACTTCTATTTGGGTGCAGAGAAAGAAACAGGCTCCCTATATGAGCAATAAAACAGATTTGAGTTCATTAGTAGCTCAGGAGGTGTAAAATAACATCTCTTAGATGGAAAGACTTAAGTTGCATTTAAAAGTTGTAAGGGAGCTGAGGGCAGTGTTTCAGTGTGAAGTTCCTGCAAACTTCAGGTTTAACCAATGCTCATAAAGGGGAAAAGTCTGACCTGAGTCTTGGTAGGCCATTTGGCCCAATGTCTGCCAGGCCAGGAGGATGGAAAAGCTGATATGGGATTAAGTGCCTCAACAATTAAATTATAAGGGTATAAATAATACTAGATGGTACATTTTTAGCTAAAATAACTCATCAAACCTAATGTAGTTTTATTGCTAAGATAATAAATTTGGTTAATAACAGCAATTGCATAGAAGTAATTTGTTTGAGGGGTTACAAATCTTTTGATCTAATACTGATAACATTGTCACAGTTAGAAATTCTCTGTGCAGCTCTTTGGGCTGAACCGATTGGAGGCTGGGAAACATGGAACCAAGTGGCCTCTGAAAGTATCAGCCAGGAGAATCACTCAGCAGAGTGTTTGTCTGTGCCAGGAGAGCCAGAACTGGGCAGCCAGCACCTCCAGCTGTAATCTGGCAGGAGGTGTACCAGGGCTGGTGAGGTGTTTTGTAGAGGATGGAAATCAGATGTGTGCATGTGTTAAGTTTTAGAGGGAATGGGGCATTTTTCCAGAAGAGCTTGGATGGCTCATTGAACAAATTGTAGCAAAGCAGTGTGAAAGCCAGTGGGAGGGCAGGTCATCCCTATGGAATGTTGTCATGCAGGGTGAGAGAATACACCTGAATATACCTTTCTGTACATTTTCGTGTGCTGTAACATCCTGGCAAGTTTTCCTGTGCTTTAAAGTCTCCAATAGAGGAGAATCCAGCCTTTAGCCTGTTCTCCTGTTTTCCACTTGAAAAGCTTCTCCTAACAGCCTGACTTGAAAAAACAAAGGATTGCCAGCTCTATTACACGGTTTTTTTGCATACTGAGACAAATTATTGTCTCGCTCCTTTTCCAGCTTATACAACACAGCTTCTCATTGCAGCTCTTATTTTCTAAAGTTTTTATTCTTAGTCTGTTCTGGACTGCATCCCACTTGCCTACACATTTTTAAAAACTGAGTGAAAGTATTTTATCAGCATTGCACCCAAGGCCTTGCTAACTCTGACAGAAGAAAATAATTATATTTTGTGTTTTACATAAAGTTTCTTGGGAAATTATGTTTGACTTGTTTTGCAGAAATAGTTTTTATATTTATGTGATGTTTGTTATTTTCTTTATCATTCTTGAGTTTTTTACTTGATCCTTTTCACATATTTATTTTATTTCTTCCTCCTGCAATCCTACACTGGTCTTCATATAATTACACCTTGTTCATGCAAAAGCATCTGTCCAGTTAAATTCTGAGCCTGTCCAACTGGATTATTGCAGTACCTTGTTGTTACCTACCTGTTTATGTAAGAGTATTTTGCTGTTCTGCTTCTAGAAATTTAAATTACAATACAGATTAAAATATAATCCTGAAGGATGTAGTTTGAAATGCCTCCTCAGTTTACCACAAGACCATCGATAGGTGTTTTTTGAGAATGGTTTTCAGTCAGTTGTAGCAATTTTACTTTTTTTACACATAGGCTGTGATTTCCATAGCCTGCTCCTCAGAGTATCATGCAAGACATGAAAGGTTCAGCACTTTCTACTTGAAATGTTTCCTCTGCCATGGGCATTGCTGTCAAGTAATTGGAATTTCCTGCTTGTTTGCATGTTGCTAATTGTGTGATGTTACTTCCAAGAGCTCAGGGCTGTCTCGGGAGAGAGTGCTTATTCATTAGGCCTTTTATTCTGTCAAAGTTCATTAGAGTGGTTTGATAGGATTGATCCTTCCTGCAACAAACTAGCAGGTTTTGACCTTTTATTTTCCATCTGTACAAATGACCTCTATAAGGATGGTCCTAAGTCTTTTCAGTGGCCCAGCTGAGTTGAATGTGGCTCTCTGGGATGCTTCTGGTGCAGGGGGAGCAGTGGCAGCCTGTACTGCAGCATTGTGAGCCAGGAAAGGGGGAAACCATGTGAAGTGTTAAACATCCCCACTTGGAAAAAAATGGTGAAAAACTGGAAAAGACATAGAAAAGCAGTGTGCATATTTTGAGACTGGAATAGAAGCCTTGGGCTGGCTTCAAAGGAGGGGAAAAACATGCTACGTGTAGTCTTCAACCCCAGGGGAAAAGCAGCGTGGAGAGCTGCTGTTGCACAAGTGCAGGGACCAATGGCCACACACCAGCATCCCTGGAAAAGAGCTGGTAGCCACAGCTGTGTGGGTTTGGTTCAGGGAGGCTGGGAAATGCTCTGGCCCAAGTGGTGTCTGCCAGCAATCTCTGAAGTAGTGTTGGTTTTTTCCTCTTGATGATGTTGATACTGATGGTCAGTCGATTTACTGTGAACATGGAGCTCCTAAGGGAGCAGCTTTGTGTTAAGCCGTAGTTTTTTCATGGGCAGAGGTTAAGGAAGGTGCCTTTGGGTATAGAGACAATAGGAACTTACCCCTTGTGATCACTGCTCTCTCGCTTCTTCTTTCTGATAAACAGGAAGGGAGGCTGTTGACACAGAATTAAAAGATGAATCTGACACATCTACTTAAAAGGTCCACTGGGTTTTGTGCACAGACACCACTGATGTTGTCTGGAATTCAGAGCCACAGAGATTTGCAAGCTGGGGGTGTTTGCTCTTCTCCAGGCACTCCTATTAGTTTGTGTTGTGCAGGAACCAGATGGGCTTTTGGTCTGACCTGATGTGGCTTGTGTTTGTCATGATTATCATTGCCCTTGTCACTTCTGAGAGTGCAGGTTCCTGTTACCTGCCCGTCAAGCCTGGAGCGCTGGTGGAAACTGAGGAAGACATGTAGAATTGTATGAGAGTATTACACAGGTGTTCCCACTTTCCCCTGAGCTCATTTTGCAGCAGGCCTTTGTCTCTTCCCCTTGTACTACTCCTAAGGTGTGTCTTTCCTCCCATGTCTGTGCTGCAGGAAAATGGGAGTGCCCGTGGCATCAGTGTGATATGTGCGGTAAGGAAGCAGCTTCGTTCTGTGAGATGTGCCCCAGGTCCTTCTGCAAGCAGCACCGGGAAGGAATGCTCTTCATCTCCAAGCTGGATGGACGATTATGCTGTACGGAGCACGATCCCTGTGGGCCTCACCCTCTAGAGCCAGGAGAAATTCGTGAGTATGTGCCTCCCATAGAAGCCCTGACTAATGGCGAGGACACCCAGCCACCGGAGCAGCTGCCTGCAGAGGTAGACACAGAGGCAGACACAGACCTGAGCGTTCAGACCCTGGACAACCTACCTCAGTCTGTGGCCCTCAGACTGCAGTCACCAGAAAAGCCCCCTGCTACCCTGGCACTGAGGCTGCCGTCATCAGACAAGCCCCCCACCACCCTTGCCCTGAGGCTGCAGCCGTCAAACAAGCCCCCCACTACCCTGGCCCTCAGGCTGCCTTCACCAGACAAACCACCCGCCACCCTGGCTCTGAGACTGCCACCATCAAATAAACCCCCTGCCACTTTGTCACTGAGGCTGAAGCCATCCAACAAACCCTCCACCACCCTCTCGCTCCGGCTGCAGCCTTCGGACAAACCTCCCACCACCCTGTCACTCCGCCTGCAGCCGTCAGACAAGCCCCAGGCCGCCCTGTCCCTAAGGCTGCAGTCAGAGAAGCAGCCCATCATCGTAGCGCTGCGGCCTCAGCAGCCCGACAAACCTCCCACCAACGCGGTGCTCTGGCCCCTGGATGAGTCCTCCAGTGACGCCTCGCAACCTCAGCTGCCGAGCAAATCTCCTCCAGGATCACCACAGTCGTTGGATGAGTCGCTTGTTACTGCTGGTACCCTGCAGCTCCAGCTGTCAGATGAGCCTCCAGACACCCCTAGGGTTTTGGAGTTATCGGACAAGTCCCTCATTGACACCGGGACCCAGCAGCCTGAGCTGCTGGATGAGTTCCCCACAAAATGCCTGCATCCTCCACTGTCTGACAGACTCCTCGCCACAGTGGGGACGCTGCAGTCTCAGCCAGCAGATGAGCCTCCCGAGGCCGATCAGCTCCAACCGCTGGATGACACTTCTGCCCAGAGCCCACAGCCACAGTCTGTGGAAGAAGATCCCAGCTCTGTGGTGCCACAGGTCCCAGTACTGGAGGTGGCTTCCAGTCCTGAGGTGCTGTGGCCTCTGCCCATTGCAGAAGTCCCCGACTCCCCTGTCTCACGAATCCTGCCCGCAGAGAAGGCTCCTGGATCGGCAGTGCCACGACCCCTGCCTCCAGAAAATGCCTCCTTCTCCACTGCAATGCGGGTCCCAGCCACAGAGAAGGCTCCTAGCTCTGGGTCACCCCATCCCCTGACTCCAGAGAAGGCTCCTGCCTTGGGTATGCCACGGATCCTACCCACAGAGAAGGCTCCCAGCTTAGGGGTGTCGTGGCCCCTAACTCCGGAGAAGGCCCCTGGCTCCCGGTCGCCTCATGTCCTGCCTGTGGACAAGGCTCTGAGCTCTGGGGCCCTGCGGATCCCACTCACACAAAAGGCTCTCTCCCCTGGGGTGCTGCGACCCCTGCCTCCAGAGAAGGCTGCTGACTCCGGGGCCCTGCGGGTCCTGCCTCTGGAAAAGGCTCTCAGCTCTGGGGTGTCTCGGCCTCAGCTCTTGGAGAGGCCTCTCGCTCTTACAGCCCCGTGGCCTCAGGCATCAGACAAGCTGGCTGCTGCCGTGGCTCCTCGGCCTCAAGCCTTGGACAAACCTCTGGCTGCATCAGCTCCAAGGCTGTTGCTGTCGGAGAAGGCGCTGCGACCTGTCGACCAGAATGCTCAGCCGAAGGAGAGAGGAGCTCCGGCCATGGAACTGAATCCCCAGCAGAAAGAGAGGACCATGTTAGCTGGGGAGCAAATCTCTTGGTCTGCTGGGAAGGTAGTGACGCACGTTGGACAAGTACCGTGGCCTACGGAGAAACTACAGACGCACGAGCAGACCCACTGGCCCACTGCAAAAGCCCTGATGCCTGCTGAGCAGCCTTCCCGGACAGCAGAGAAACCACCAGAGCCAACCATTCAGCCCAGCTGGGAAGTGGCCTCAGTCCCCGCAGAGCAGACCCCGTGGACATCAGAGAGATTGTGTGCATTTGAGCAGACCCCTCGGCCAGCCAGGGAAGCGCCAGTGCCCCCAGAGCAGATGCAGTGGCTTGTCACGAACATTCAGACAATTGACCAGATTTCTTGGCTGGGTGGAAAAGCACAGACTCCTCGGGGGCAGGACCCTTTGCCTGAACAAAACACAGCGTTAGCCCATAACCAGGATTCTGTCTGTCGTGAGTTGGCCGACTCAGAGCCAAAGTGAGGTTGGTAAATATGGGAGGCAGGTTTCAGTTGTTTAATGTTTAGGGAGGGGGAATCTTTCTTTTGTTTTTTTTATTCACTTCCCTGAGCCCAGCCCCTAACCCATGCACATCCCATCCATATTCTCTCGTGACATGAGCAAGGACATTCTCTTAAACCTGAGTCTGGCCCAGGCAAAAGGGAGAGACCATCTGTGACCTTTTCCTCTTCCTTTAACAAATGGTAAAGCTGAAATAAAGAGTCCACTCTGGGTGAAAATCTCCAATTCCATTGAAATGGTCACATTACTGATCCAGCGTGTTCAAGCTCCAGGTCTGATTCATAGATGGGTTCCCAGGTACAGCCAGGGGCCTTGCTTTCGTTACTACATTTAAAGGAAGGAGATCAGTCAGGCTGCCCTGGGACTGAAGAAGTTTCAGGATCAGGTGGTGAGCAGTCAGGTGCATGTCCTTGCCAGACTCTAGAAGCAGGGAAGGGATTTGTGTTGTCTGCCCAGGTCTCTGTCCCTGCAGGGCGTTGCTTTGTGAGGTTTATCCGTATGTTCACTGGGATGTGCTGTGTGTGTGGTTTGCTGAAGGACAAGGATCATCTCCAGTGAGCTGGGAGAGGAGCCCCTGCACTCGCCCAGTGCAGTTTTCTCCATTAATAGGCAGTGTCCATTCAGGCTCCTTTGTACAGAGCTGCATCTGGCCAGGCCCAAGAAACAGGAAATCTGGAGGAAGTCAGGGAAAAGAGAGATCTTGGAAGTAGTCGTCTGGCAGTGTTTTCATTCTTGTGTCTTAATCCTTTAGCACAGGACATGTGGAGTGCTTTCCTGCCCTTGAAAACGTAGTGATCCATAAAGCAGCAATAGTGGAGCAGGGCAGAGTGGGTTCCCTGAGGTGCTGAGCTCTGCCCTGGCAAGGGAGTGGTGCTCCCTTTCAAATTTCCATCCAGACTCTTCTTGACTTCTGTCTCAACATGAGCCAGCGGACTGAGCAGTCTTTTCTCCCCTTGCCTCAGGCATGTTCAGGACGTGTTCCCATCACAGCTGGTATTGCCAGCAGCAAGCAAAACCTGACTCGCTCACTGCACAGTGCAGAGGCAAGGGTTCCGTAGCTGTATCGGGACCCATCTCAACACCTTCCCCTTGGGCAGCTTCTGGCTTAATTCTTCTACAACCAAAGGAGACTTGAATTAACTGGACTGTGTTGGGGTGAGAGTGTGTGTGTGTGTGTGCGCGTGTGTGTCCTTCCAACTGAATTGTAGTTCTCACACTGGAACATGGTGGGCTCCAGCAGCTGGCTGGCTTTCTTTTTTCCTCTTCTCCCTTTTCCAGTGAAAATAGATCTTTAGTACCTGGTAGTCATCAGGCCTAGCCTAGTGTCCAGACTAGGCCTGCTGAAAGCCATTCACTCAAGCATGGAGGCAGAAGTTGGCTTGGCCGTGGTGCTTGTGGGGCAGGTGGTAGAGTCCCAGGGGCCTGCAGCATCTTGCGACCACCAGCACCCTCGCAGGCAGGAGGAGGAGGATGGGCCTCCCTGGTGGCAGTGCCTGGGCTGGATGGGGTCGGTGTCCTGCCAAGGAAGCACTGCTGACCAGCATTTTCCCACTCTCACAACACATTACCTCTGTGGTTTGCCTGAGCTCCGCCGATCTGGGGCCGCGGCCTCGGATCTCTGTGCTGCCACCAGACCCTCACGCAGCTCCAGTGTGTGTATCCTTCTCCTTCCAGGTTGATCCACAGGTCCCTCCTCAGAAGGGGAGTGTTCAGCTCCAGGCCAACCCTCTCCCTCCGACATGGGAGGGACCCGACCCTTTGCTTCCTTGTTCCCACCTGGCTTGCAAGTGCCTGCTGCTCCCAGAGCAGACAGTCATGAGCTTTGTAGTTTTCTATGAAGGGAGGCCGACACTTGTGCCGAGACAAATCCCAGTCTGTTCTGCTTTCCTGACTTGTGCACCCTGAGACAACGTCCTCCTGAAAAAGCCAGGTGTGCTGGGCACGAGGGGACATTACCAGTGCTATAGTGCATCTCTTCTCTAGTCCAAATCATTTCAGATCCTTTGTAGAATAGCTCACAGCTTGGAAAAGCTTTATGGCTTATGGAAACTTACTTGTTAAATGTTTTTTTCCGGGAAGACTAGCAGGTCAGTTCCTGCTTGCTGCTGAAACTGGGGAAATACAAGCAGCTTATGTTTCTGCGTGACTCCTCCACAAAGGGAATCAGGACAACTCAGATCCATTGAGAGAGAAGATTATCTTAAGGGCATTCGTTAACTTTTTTAAACAAAATTATAAAAAAAAAAGAAAAAAAAAGGTAATGACGTTCAGTATATTAAGTATTTATCATGTGTGAGAAGGAAAATAAATCTTGAATTTACATTTATAAGCCTTCCCATGAGCTGGACTTAGTCATGTAGATTGTGTAAGTAGGGTTCCCTCAGTGCCGGTGCCCAGCCAGCTCCCGCTGTAACCAGAGAGGTCTCTGCACTGCTCTGTCCACCTCTGCTTTGCATTGTCACGTGTTAACTCGCTACTTGTTTCATGAAAAAATAAACTGTGAATATTTTTGGTGCAGGCTTTTTTAAATCTGTAAAATGGAGAAGTTCTCAATGAATTCTCATGAAAGCAGGTTTGAAAAGATCACTTCTATAAATCGTGTGCTCACGTAGCAGGGTGAGGCTCACGGCAGCAGCCGCCTTTCACGCAGCAGGCGCTTACCCAAAAGCTTGTTTGGAACAGTGAATGTGGATTAAACTGTTGCATGGCATTTCCCACAGCCTTCTTCATTGCAGCTGACTGTACCCCATCTCTCCTCTTGTCTCCCTTTTCCACGAGGATCCAGGTTTCCAGCTTGCTACCTTCCAGCTGCTGTTGGAAGGTTGACTTCAGCGTAGCTGGGAGGCTGCTTGGTAAAGTTGGCGTTGGGGAACATCACAGAAGGAGGAAGTCAGGAAGCTCCTTTTCCCTCCTCACCCTCATTGGGGCCCTGAGTGGTGCTCTGTCAGATATGGGGGGCTTTTCAGATGGAGTAGTGGTGCTTATGGGAGTGTCCGGCAGTGCTGGGTCACCTTAGCAAGATGGACAAGGCCTGACCAGGTGTGGAGAGAGGTCCCAACAGCCTTGCCCTACCCAGGCTGCTCTCACTGGCATGGAGCAGCAGCTGGGGAACAACTTTGGGCAGCAAAACTCTGGTGAAGGAAATGTGGGTTTGTGCACTTGACGTGACTCTTGCTGTGGTGGCAGCACTGCCTTGGAGGAGGAGAGGGAGATGTCTGTGTTGAAGCAGTTGGATTCATTTGTGGCAGTTCATTGCCGCCTTCAGAGTCCAGTCAGTTTGAATCACGGGGAGTTTCAAGGTAGAGGACAGTGACAAAGTAACCTGCAGGGCTCAGAGCTTTGCTGCAGCTCCTGCCAAGGCTGTGGTGCTCTTTTGTTGCATTGGAGGGATCCAATCACCTGGTCACTAAATCTCAGGTCAGCCCTAATTGCACCCAAGGTGGATGAGAGGTGACTCTTGCGTTGATTCACTGTTGAGGAGTGCTGTAGAAGCAGAGTCAGGGGTGTAATTATTTCTGCTCAGAGCTCTGCAGACCCATGGAGGCTCACAGGAACTTCCCAGGTTCCTGAGCCCATTCCTGCTTGTGGGAATGACTCCTTGGTTCTGAAGGGGGTGAAGGCTTTGCTCCTATACAAACGCTTCGCTGGTCAACATCTTTGCTGTCAGGACAGCCTGGCTTCCCCTGCTCAGAGCAATGGGCTGTGGTCAGTGGCCCTGGCTTCCATCTCACAGTAGGACCAACTTTAGTGTTGGATTTCCATGGTGGACAAGAGAGTCCTAGTTGACCTTTGGTGATGGAGGAGTTCTGGTGAGCGGTAGCAGTGTGGTCAGGGACTCAAGTGCCCGGGCAGGCAAGGAGGGTTGCAGAGGAGGAGCCACTGCAGGACCTGTGGGATGTGTGGGCAGGAGGGGAGCAGGCTTGTCCTATCTTCCCCAGTGCTGGGCTGGGGCCCACTGTCAGCCAGGGCTCTGGTGAATCTAGCAGGAAAGCTACCACTGTAAGGGATCATCACCTACTGCACATCTCCAGATGCTGACTAGCTGATGGTAGCTTGCTTTATTGCTGTTCTCGAGTTAAACTTTTCCTATTTAACAGAAAAAAATCCCCAAGAACCAGATTCACTTCAATACACAAAGTATCCGGGTGGTACCATGGGAGTACGTGTTAATTCAGGGTTAAATCCCTGCAGGCAGAGGCTCTGAAGGTGTGGCTGGTGTTAAAATTTACAAGAGAGATGGTTGAATCCAAAGGACCTTAACAAATTAAGGTGGGACAATGTGTTGCTAGAAAAGCTTCAGCTCACTTTCAGTGAAAAAAAAAGGAAGAAAAATTAAGAAAAAGCAGCCCTAACCCTGATGCCCTTGGCAGTGATTTAGCCTGAGCACACTGTGGTGGTACCCTGCTTCTACCTGGACACCACAGGCACCATTCTGACAGGGCAGGGGGAGTTTGTTTGAGAAACCTCAGACCTTCAATACCTTCCGTTTATTTTTAATTTCAGCCTTAACTTCTGATTTTGCTTGATGTTTGGAATAACCATAATTGTAACCTGCTTGTAATGTGCTTTGCCCTAAATTACTGATGAGGCTTTTGGCCTTTGCCAGCCAGTGTGTGTTAAAGCAAAGTGGCAAATCATGCAGCTACTCTGAAAGTCCGGAGGGGGGTTGCTGTGTTTGATCTCCCAGGCTTTGTCCGTGCTAATTACCCCCCTGTGAGAGTGATAACACTGGTATCATTTGCGGCAATGGCTGCACCTCTTGCAGCAGCACGGGCTGGGCTGATGGGGTGCTCGGGGCTCCCAGGGCCTGGGACATGGGACACTGGAGCCTGGGGACTGCTCCACCACGTGCCTGGCTTCAGCAAGAGTCTCACCTGCGGGGTGGCAGTGCCCTTGCTTAGCAGGAGGTGGGAAAAGGCAAGATTCCTGCTCCAGGTCCTCCAAAAGCAATGTAAGCAAAGCTCAGTGCAGGGGACAGCTTGTATGAGCTTGGGCTGGAGGAGTGGCAGTGATGGACAGTCCCTACAGCACTGAATCTACCTCCTAGGGAAATCTGAGAAATGGGTGTAGCTATGGCCTATTTCAAGGTAAAGTTTTAATCAGTTTGCCCTTGGCAAAACCCTTGGGCTATTGTGGTGCTATTGTAAACCGTCGGCAGCTTAGCACAGTAGGGCTGGACTCACGGCTCCTGGCCCGTAGGCTGGGACTTCTTGGCCAGCTGAATCCCATCCCCATAGAGCTGGGTCTGTGTGACTGAAACAGGATGAGGTGTGACTCAGTTCCTTCAATTTGTGAGGGTTTTGAGACTCAAACCAGTGTGCCAGTGGGCCTCGTGGGGAGCCAGTGGAGCCATGTAAAGCAAAGCAGGCATCCGCTACTGCATGTTCTTCGTGTCCGTTTGGTACTGAGCTGGTTTCAGTCTTTGTTTCTTTTTCTGATGTTTCCAAGTTGTTGACTTCAAGGAACTGGGTTTTGTGTATTTTTTTTAGACACTGGGAACTTGTTAAATGGAAAAGCAGCAGCACTGGGAGACTCAAGGTGGAGCGTGGCTGGAGCTGAAGGCCCAGGCTGACATGGGTGGGAGGTGGGATGTGCTGGCAGTGGCTGGCACAGGCAGGGAGCAACTGGACAGTGGAAGCTTTTCAGCAGCAGCACTCCCAGCCCTGCATATCTGTGGTGCTGAGGTCACTGCTCTGCCAGACACTTAAGAGTGTCCCCATGCCTGGCTTTGAATGTCCCCTGCAGCCCTCCAGTGCTACGTGCTCTCAGCTGGGGTCCTGGCTGCCAACTAGCCAGGGGTCCTGGGGAGGGTGGCTGCCCACTGCCCCTTCCTCACTGCCCAGAGACAGGGCTGGGGCACTCGTAGGAGCAGCATTAAGTTGCACTGGAGTTGTGAGCAGGAGGTTTGCTCGTGGGGGGAACCTTGGTGTGAGCAGCCCCTCGCTGCCTTCACCCCAGGGTCTGCTGCCCACAGGGTGGCAGTGGATGGGGGTTCCCTGCAGGGTCCTGTTCCACAGGCTCAGCCAGAGGGAAAAGCACTGGGAGTTGAGGAGCCCAGCCAAGGCAGGGGCCAGCCAGAGCACTGCAGGGGAGGACATGGGGGTGCTCAGCCCTGGCTGGGACTCATCTGTCAGTTCTAAGCAGGAATGCCAGAGCAGGTGAGAGAAAACTACATATTTCCAGCATGTATATTATTTTTAGAAGAGGGAGAGGGGAGAGTCTTGGACCATTGATTACTTTCATTTTGCTCCCCTTAGACTGTTGGCTGTGTATGTGAAACTTATAATGAAAAGAGGGTTGCCCTGCCCAGGTGCTCCCAGAACATGTACTGTAATTCTTTGTATATAGAAGAAAAATTACTGTAAAGTAAAGTTTAACTTTACTCTCGATGTCCTCTTGTGGTTTGTCTTGCCGAGGGGGGCGAGGGAGGGATGGGAAACCCCCAAAAGCCTCGTGCACAGGGGGTGGCTCAGACCACAATGCATTTTATTTACATTGTACACCTTGAGAGAAGACGCTTAAATAAATCTGCAAAGAATTGAGCATCTCCGAGAGAATAAGTTACCGGCCGCTGCTGGGCCACAGCAGCTCCCACCAATGCCACAGGTGGCAGGGAGGGGGTCCCTGGGGGTGACAGTCCATAGATCCTGGCACTGCACGGCAGCCCTGTGCCACTCCACATGCCAGGAGGAGAGCAGTCCGCAGGCCTTGTGCCCTGGCACAGACAGGCCCCAACAGCTAAAACACAGCAGGTAAAACACCGGAGGCATCCGGCGCGCGCCAGCTGCCCAGCCGGCAGCAGCGGTTCCCTTTTGGCACAAGGGCTCAGTGGTGGCAGCAGCTGTAGAAGTAGGGACTGCTCCTCTGGCCCAGGTTGACACTCTTGTCCTCTGGAAGAGAGCAGGAGCGGCAGGCTGCTGGCACAGCCACGCCACAAAATGCTGTGTGGCAGCCCCAAAGCTGCTGGTCCCAGGCGTGGGCCCCAGCAGGTCCCATGAGGAGGGTTTGGTGCCACGTGGAGAAGCAGCAAGGCCCAGGGCCACAGCACAGCCCAAGACAAATGCACAGCCCAGGGTGGGAGGTGCAGCCAGGCTGAGCACGCTGGGGCAGGCCTGGTGAAGAGTTGAGCCAGTCCTGCTGCCTAGTGAGGCTCCTGGCCACCAAAGGCCATCATGGCCCAGCTGGGTGGACATGCTAAGCCTGGCCTAAGCAGGGACGAGGATGCTGTGATGGGACCCAGCCGCCACAGGACAATCCCCAACAGAGAGCTGCAGCAGCCTCAAGCAGGGCAGAGGTGAGGAAGGGCCCTGCCAGACCCCCCATCGCTCATACTCCACACTCAGCAGAGGCACAGGAGAGGGTGCCTGAGGAGGGACAGCTCCTACCTACTCACCTGTCATCACCTGGAAGGCGGAGAAGTTGACGTAGTCCTCAGCCACCTTCTGGAACAGCTCATCTGGGGGGAGAGGTGGCACAGTGGGTGTGGGTGCCCCCGCCAGGCAGAGCCCCCTGGCCCTGCTCTGCCCAGGGCATGGCCCCAGCGAGAGGCTACTCACCCACACTCTGGCCCGTCTTACTGGAGGTCTCAAAGTGGTCTGCTTTGATCTCTGAAACAAGGGTCCAGGTTGGCACTTGCTGCAGGTGCAGGATATGGCCCAAGGGCTCAGCTGCCCCCAGAGTCACCCCTCAGGCACAGCTGCTGACAGGGGGCTGGCAGGGACCCAGGACAGGGCTCCTGGCCCCTTGGCCCAGCTGGCCGCGTGCCTGCCCATGTCAGGACATGCTGTGTCCAGGGAGGTCCCTGGTAGAGCTGGCACCTCACCACACACGGAGCCCTGGTACCACCGGATCTGCTGCAGGCCCAGGGCAAGGGCAGAGCCCCTCGCACACGGATCCATCCCCCCATGCCCCCCACCCCCTGTGCTGCGGGAGCCCCAGGAAGGGCCAGCAGTGGCTGTACCATCGGCATAGTCCTGCACATCATGGAAGTCAATCCCCCGCTTCCTCCTGTCCTCCTCCAGCAGGTCACACTTGGTGCCACACAGGTAGATCCGGCAGCCCTGGGGCAAGGGAGAGGGATGGGAGGGATGTGCCCATGTCTTTAGCAGCAGCCCCCCTGCCCCACAGTGAGGCTGTGCAGTCCCCCAGCACCCCTGTACCTCCTCGCAGTTCTGCAACTCGTTCACCCAGAACTTGGCTCGCTGGAAACTGCCACTGTCGGTGAGATCTGGGGAGAGAGAGGGGTCAGGGTCTGTCTAATGCTTTTCTCAGTGCCTGACCCACCAGTGCTGCCACCACTCTGTCCCAGGATCCTGGGACCTCCCCATCCTCCATGCCCTTACCATAGCAGACGATGGCAGCCCGGGCCCCCCGGTAGTAGATGCGGCTCATGGCCTCGTAGCGCTCCGAGCCGGCCGTGTCCTGTGGGACACAAGGAAGTGCTTGGCAGGTGACTCTTGGAGATCCATGAGCCAGGGGGTGACTGAGGATGTCAGCACAGCCCTCTCTGGGGATGTCAACACAGCCCTCTCTGCACTTACCCAGATGCCCAGGGTCACTGTCTGCTCCCCCACGGACATCACCTTGGCCACGAAGGCAGCTCCAATCGTCTGGAAGTGAAGCAGGAGGAGAAGTGGGGACTGGCCCAGGGATGCCCGGAGCATCTGGCCTTGGAACATGGTAGGAACCGGCCCGGGAACATGGGGAAACACACCCGGGAACGTGTGGGTATGGAGGAGGAGGAGTGGGTATGGAAACAAGGGGACCAACCCACGGGTATGGGAGGGATGTGGAGGGGCTCCAGCCCAGGCATGGCGGGAGACAACATGAGGGGACATCGTGCCAGGGACGTGGTCTCACATTGCCAGAGACACGGTGAGGGCATGGGTAGGATACGGAAGGCACCAGCCCGGAGATCGAGAGGGGTGAACACGAAGGGACCACCCTGGGGACATGAGAGTGACGCGGGGGACACCGTCGTGGGTACGTGGGAGGCACCGCGCCGGTGACACGGTGGGGAAACGAGGGGACCGACCCGCGAGTGCAGGAGGGGTGGAGGGGTCCTATCCCGAGGATGGCGGGGGACAACACGAGGGGACACCGTCCCGGGGATGTGGAGGGACACGGTGGGGGAGCGAGGGCACCGACGCGCGGACGGGCCACACAAGGGGCTCATCCCGGGCAGACGCGGGTGACGCGATGCCGCGGAGGCGCCGCAGCAGCCCCGCGGCGGCGCTGCCGGTGCCCGTGTGTCACTCACGTTCTGGTAGGGCCCGGCGCGGAAGCGGCCGTGGGCGCAGCGCTCCACCAGGCTGCTCTTACCCACGCCCTCCTGCCCCAGCAGCACCACCTTGGCGTCCACCCGCCGCCCGCTCATCCTC